GAAGAATGCTTCTGACACGACGACGCGATGATATGCAATGTAGCGCCATGACCCATCATGATAACAATTCAAGTATATGCGCATCTAAAATAACAATTTAACAGTATAACTACCTATTCTTTTGAGTATGACAGTTGCTGCATTTTTCATGCAATGAATTGAAAAAAAATGTAGTGAAGAAAACGGGTGATGCTACTTTGTGGGCGGGAGCGTGAATGTTGTGAAATTACTCGTGTTGTGGAACAAAACTCACAAGGCAACCCAAGCAAGCTGTCAACTGTCAACCTACACATGTGAGACACTACCTTTGTGTTGGTGGCACCTTTGATAACTTTACCTTATGTTAGGTCTCACTCGAGAAATTGCCCTGATTGCATTGTCCACTTCCACACGCATTCAAAATAACACATGGTAACAGCATGGATACAACGTGGAGAGGTTACACAACACAAGACACACGCAGGCGGCAGGGATGCAGAAAACGTACTTCCGCCGCCGCTACCAACCCGAGCATGATCGGTGCACATGTACAACGTTGGCAAACGTTGATAGTAAATTAATTTTCCTAGTGTAGAACGTTGATGGCAGAGCCCATGGTCACAGATCAGCATGGCCTGGATACCTAGGGAACGGAATAGAATCTCGGATGTTATCAATGCCTGTGGCGAAGAGGATCATTCTTTCAAAGCCCAGACCGAAGCCCGCATGAGGCACTGTCCCGTACTTGCGCAGATCCAGGTACCACTCGTACAACTCCCGTGGCAAGTCCATCTCCTCCAACCTGGGAAACACAATGGTTGAAATGTCATGCATGTGGAAGTCAATGCCCCGTGGCTTGACTGAAAGTGGTAATGTGGCATGGCCAAAAGCATGCACAGCTGAGAGGGTGATTTTGATTCGCCACCATCACCGACGTCGCAAAAAGAGAAGCAAGCAAGCACATACCTCTTGACCAAGACGTCATAGCGCTCCTCCCGTTGACTCCCTCCTATCAACTCCCCCACCTGCACAGACAAGCACGTTGTGGAAAGGCATGAATGGGTCACATTAAATTTTAAAAAAATGCCATTTAAGCTATCGATTTCTTGCCTGCCAGGGTACTGCAGTAAGCCCACCAACCAGCTTCTCTCCCTAGGGTGAGCATGGCTTACCCCAGGCACGAGCACATCCATGGCTTACCCCAGGCACGAGCACATCCATGGCTTACCCCAGGCACGAGCACATCCATGGCTTACCCCAGGCACGAGCACATCCATGGCTTACCCCAGGCACGAGCACATCCATGGCTGCCACGGTCTTGCCATCGTCATTGAGCCGCATGTAGAACGCCTTGATCTCCTTGGGGTAGTTGTACACTATCACTGGCGTCTTGAAATGCGTCTCCGCCAGGTACCTGCCATGCCATTCCATGCCATTCCATGCCCATGCCATGCCATGCCCATGCCATGCCATGCCCATGTCATGCCAACACGTGCCATGGAATATACACCAGAATGGAAATTAGGTGGCTGGCAACAGCAATATTGCTGCGAATCAGCCTAACTCTGTAGTACCCACCTCCCTACTACCCCCTGATCATGGCAACCCCCCCTTCTCCCCCCACAGTCTCACCTCTCATGCTCACTCGCAAGGTCGATGCCCCACTCCACCGCATTCTCAAACTTCTTCCCCTTCTTGATCGCTTCCTGCAGCAGCTCAATCGCCTCGGTGTACGTCACTCGGGCAAAGGGCGACGACGCCACGTGTGCCAGGCGGTCCAGAGCGGTCTTGTCAAACATCTTGGTCATGAACTGCATGTCGTCGCGACAGTTGTCCAGCAGCCATTGGCAGAGGAACCGCACATAGTCCTCCGCGCATTTCATGTCGTCCTGTGTGGATTGGTTGGTTGGGATAGGACACACGCAGCACATGCACATCAAACCATGAGAGACTGTGCTGAGTGGAAGGAAAACAAGCCAGGCCCAAGACAAGCACATCTGACACCAGCAATGCAGATGCAGGATTGCCAGGCCAGGGAGTGGATCTGCTGCAGGTACAGCCACGTCAGTAGTATACCTCCAGGTCAGCGAAGGCAATTTCAGGCTCGACCATCCAGAACTCCGCCAGGTGCCTTGTCGTGTGGGAGTTCTCAGCACGGAACGTGGGTCCGAACGTGTACACGCTGCTCAGTGCGCACGCGTACGTCTCCACCTGGAGCTGCCCCGACACCGTCAGGAACGCCTGCCGAGCGAAGAAGTCCGCTCCAAAGTCCACCGGCCCCTTGCCGTCCTCGCCTTTCCGCGGCAGCCCTGGCCGCATCTTCGCCCGTGCCTCTAAAGCAGCTAATGCCTCCTTGGCCTTCGTTAGCTCCGCCACCCCGGCTTTAATCTCCTCCTTGCTCGCCTTCGCCTCCTTGAGAGCCTTCACCGCGCCGCCTGCTGCTGTCACGGCGTCTTTGGCGGCCGCCACGTCAGCGTCCGTGGGAGGGGGGTTTTCCAAGAGAGCCTTTTCGCGGCGCTCGGTTTCAGCGATGAGGGTGGTAACGTGGAACATTTCGCCAGCTCCTTCGCAGTCGTTGGTGGTGACGATGGGCGTGTGCACGTACAGGAAGCCGTGCTTCTGAAAGAAGATGTGCGTCGCGAACGCCAGCGCGTTGCGGATCCGCGCCACCGCCGCGATCTGCGCGGGAAGAGGAGAGTGCGGGAGGGGACAGGGAGAGAGCAGGGAAGGGATGGGAGGAGGGAAGAGCGAGGCGCCGTGAAGAAGAGAGAGGACGGGGCGTAGGGGCACAAGGGTATTCGTTTTTCTCCTATCCAATTGCCTAACTCGCCACGTCAGCATTGCTCAACTCATACCGTGTTAGTGCGCGGTCGCAGGTGCATGACGGATCGCAGATACTCGAGCGACAGCTTCGTCTTGGCGATGGGGTACACACCCGCGTCGCACGGGCCCACGTGGAGCACCTTGCTGACGTGGACCTCCACCAGCTGCTTCGTCCCCTCGGGCGTGCGCTTCAGCTCGCCCTCCACGCGCACGCACGTGCCCGTCGCCACCAGCTCCCCGATCGCCGCCACCTCAGCCTTCACAATCACCTGCGGTTGATCGGGACGAGAAGGACCATTGCCACGAAGACATCCACGTCAGCATGACGACCACGTGTGAGCGGCGGACGATCAATAAAAACCCGGAGCTTGAACACTCCACGCAAAACCCCCGTCTACTGGCACGACAGGAGCACACGGCGCAGGAATTACTGAATTGGATCGCGCGAGCAACGGAGCACGTCGAAGATCACCTGATACGGCGAATCGCACGAGATGCTAGCACCCGACGGTCACTGCTCGCTGATCGCCCGGTCCCTGAGGAACACACCGCGAGCGACGGTGTACGACGGTCTGCGACAGTGTGCGACGGTACCTGAAGGTTGGCGGGGCACGATCCGTCGTTGAGCTCTAGGAAGGCGAAAGTTCCCTTGCCCTGCTCTCGCCCAGTCTTCACCCATCCTCCCACCACAAACGTCTGCCCAACTAATGACAAGCCGCCATCTGGTGCACCGAGAATAGTTTTGATCACGACCCTTTTTGAATACGGAGCGAGGATCGAGACAGCGGGAGCGGGCTGCGTGGATTCGCCATTATCGGCTGGAGACGCTGAACCGTCCGCCATGGCTGATTTAACTGGGACTATCTCAGTCAGAGCGAGGAACCATTAACTTAAAAATAAAGGTTAAAAAACTTAAGTAGCTCTCTGTATCAAGCGTTCATGCCGGAGTGGTTAACGGGACAGACTCGAAATCTGTTGGGCTCTGCCCGCGCAGGTTCGAATCCTGCTGAGCAACGCGGCTTTTGCTCATCACTCTTACGTTTATTTGTTGCAGTTACCCGTCGTCGTGAAGCCATGTGAAACTTGTTCGCGCGGCGCTGATCTTCGCACGACAAGCGCTGTTCGCCCTCGGAAATTCTTCAGTCCCGAGCCTGTCAGAATGGAGGATGCTAGTAGTTCCTCAGTTCAACCTCAGCCACGCTGTGCCGTGATGCGAGCAGATTCTGAAGCTTGTCAGGCATTGGGAATGTCGACTGACATTGTCGCTGGAACTAGAGTGGAGTCATCCGAGCAAGCCTATCACTGAGCGAATAGGGGAATACTTGAGGCAGCTCTTGGATTCATGTCCCCTTTTTTTGCGACGCGAGCAGTGCGTGTTGACAACTCTTCATGACCACGAACTACTGCTACTGTATTTCGTTAAAACGGAAGAGTAATACCTCCGTACGCTTGCGAAGGACGATTTCTGTCAAAAGAGTCTTTGAGACGGCTTTCTAAGACGAGACAGCCGGCGTGGGCCATGTCGTAGAGCCCTTTGCACCACTGAATGCTCTGAAATCGCTATGAGCTTCCCGTTAGTCTAGTCGCTGAAGCGCGCTGCGTCTTTTTCATGCCATGACGAGCGTCCCCTCGTCTTCGTCTCCGCCTGGCTTCGATCTGTCAGCCACCGATTATTCCTTCCGACCTCCCCTGACGAACGTCTGTACCGCTCTCGTATCGAATCTGTCTCCATCCTCGATATGGACATGTTCAGTTTCAACCCAATCGAGCGTTTTCTAACGCGGAATATTGTTTTCTAACGCGGAATCTGTTGATAGCACAAATTCTTCCGCTGGAGAACGTCATGCTGCATGTAAAACAGTGGAACAGAAACCATGGAAGGTCGATATATAACAGAGAGGCTTTGACATTATCTTGTGCTCTCTTTTGTTTTCTTTTTCCTTGAACCCAATTTGTCATCAGGGACCCTGTTATGAGCAGAATATTGTTTTCTAACGCGGAATCTGTTGATAGCACAAATTCTTCCGCTGGAGAACGTCATGCTGCATGTAAAACAGTGGAACAGAAACCATGGAAGGTCGATATATAACAGAGAGGCTTTGACATTATCTTGTGCTCTCTTTTGTTTTCTTTTTCCTTGAACCCAATTTGTCATCAGGGACCCTGTGGTTGGTCGGTGGGTGGAGTCGGAGCAGCGCATGTGGAATCCAGCCATCGCTGACATCACGTTGTTGGCGCTGGGCACGTGTGCGCCTCAGATCTCCCTCGCAGTCATTGACGCCGTCAGGCGACTGGGCAAGACCGGCGGACAGGGTGAGTGTGTTCCAGGTTGTATGAAGAGGAGTGAGTTACAGACACACAGGAGAGAAAGAACAGAGGCTCAAAGCTTGCATTTTCTACTCTCATCTCTGAACTTGTCATCCAGGCGGCCTGTCATGCCTAATTATGTGTATCTATTGCCTGCACTTTCAAGTGTGGATTTTCTCGACGATTTGTGCTTGCGCAACTCATTTGCATGTGCTCTTTCTTTCCCCTCGCCCGTTTGCACGCAGACCTGGGAGCAGGCACCATCATAGGCGGCGCAGCGTTCAACATCTTCCCCATCCTGGCTGTGTGTGTGCTCGTGCCTGCTGCCGGCACGGTGAAGCGCATTGCAGACGTGGGGCTCTTTCTGGTCGAGTTCCTCTGGTCGCTCTGGGCCTACGTGTGGCTCTGCATCGTGCTGCAGGTGAGCCCAGGGGGATGTGCCTCAGGATGGATCTGTGCGGTGTGCCACACCCACCATGTCTTTCTGAATTTAAATGCATGGCTCCAGTCATTTTATTATGCCACCTACAAGCTGTCCGTGCAATGAGGTTGACGCTGTTGTGTTTTCTCTTTCTTTCCCAGGTGTGGACGCCAGGCGAGGTAACGATAGCAGAGGCGGTGATGACAGTGCTGCAGCTGCCGCTGCTCATGCTGCACGCATACGCCCAGGAGAACCGCTGGCCCTTCATAGCCTTGCCGCTCTCTACACCCACCACCCAACCTCCCGCTGCTTCCTCCGAAGCCGTTGCTGCGACAGCAGGCGCTGCTAACTCAGCAATGCAGGAGGGTTCTCAAAGTGCAGCAGTCTCTGATTTACATGGTGAATTGTCTCCAGGAATTACATCTCGTCCTGCTGTGGATGACCGTGCAGCACTGGGCGATTTTCCCATTCCGAGCAACAGCAGGAGGAGGCGAAGGAGCAGCGAACACGATCGCAACAGCAGCCGCAGCAGTGGTGGTGGTGGCGGTGGTGAAGGAGGCATGGGGAGAGGTAGTCGCAGGCACAGCCTATCGTCTCAGGCGGAGGACAGGGAGTGGGATGATGCAGAGGAGGATGAGGAGGTGGGGAGGGGAAGGCGCAACTCTGGGCAAGGGTTTCAGCAGGGGGCTGTGGAGGTACTCCCTCAGCCAGACAGCCGTGCCCAACTCATCGCCTCTAGGCATTCACATGGGAGCGATGGCAGCAGTGGTGGGACGAAGGGGGTGTCATTCGGCATGCGGTGGAGGCAACAGATCGTGCTTTCCATGATGGTGGGTTGCCACGTGATGGATGCCATGGCATGTGCTGGCAGGATGTCATGTGCTGGCATGATGGCATGTGCTGACATGATTGCGTGTGCTTCTGACATGATTGCATGTGCTGACATGTTGGTATGTGATATGTGTTGTAATGTTATGCTGTTCGTGTCTCTGATGTCTCCATGAGTATTTTTGCCATGGTCCCCACCTGCACAGTCATCATCACCATCCCTGTACAGTGTCACTCATGATAAGGTCAGACATACATATGATTACCATGTTCTATTCCACTCTTGTTCCCCATTGCCTCCAACTCCCACCACCCCTTCCCACCCATTCTCTATCCCATCCCATCCCCCTCCCCCTCCAACAGCTACACCCATCGGACTACAATGCTCTCACGGAACAAGGCAGTGCGCACCCCTCACACGAGCAACCAGCAGCCCATAAACCCCAGCCGGTGGCAGCGAGGGTGCGGCGGGTGGTGGTGCACGCGGTGTGCTTCCTGTGGAAGGCGCTGTGTGCGCTGCTCATCCCCCCGCCTGACGCCCTGCACGGCTACCCCGCCTTCATCACCAGCATCCTCGTCATCACCCTCATCGCTGCCCTCGTTGTCGAGCTCGCCTCTCTCTTCGGCTGCGTCACAGGTGCGGTGCAAGGGATTTGAAGTTCTTTGCATGCATTTATCATAAGTCTCGACGAGACAAAGTGCAGCTGCCGTCTCTGCTGCCGTCTCTGCGGTGTGCTTCCTCCCCTGCACCTCCCCCCCCCCCCCCCCCCCCCCGTTCCAGGGGTGAACTCGTTTGTGGTGGCGATAACGCTGCTGGCAACGGGCACGTCCATCCCGGACCTCATAGCCAGTGTGGTGGCAGCAGACCACCTGCCCACTGCTGACTCCGCCATCGCCAACATCAATGCCAGGTGAGCCCTTCGTGAATGCTGCAGCTTGTTATGTCAGGATCATTGCTTAGGGTGGTGATTCGAGTGTGGATTGCCACAGAGGTAGCAAAGGCTTGTTATCTTTTGCTATTTGAACGCACCGCTTTACCTGAGCTTTCCTCTATGCCTGGCAGCAATTGCATCATTGTTTTCTCGGGCATGGGTATCCCATGGCTCATCACCACTCTCTACAATGAGTTTGTGTTGGGATCAGCAAACAATGTGAGCACGGCAGGCCTCGGGTTTTCCATCATTGTTTTCTTCTTAACAACTGCCGTGTGCATGGCGATTTTGTTCCTTCGGAGAATCATGCTTGGAGGAGAGCTTGGAGGGCCCAGGCCTCTCGCTTGGCTCTCTTGCTTGGCCTTCATGCTGCTCTGGATTGTCTACATGCTGCTCTCTTCACTGAATGCATATGGAATAGTTGGAGACATGGTGTAGATTATCTGATCCGACTATAGATAAATAGCCTCATTTGAATCTTTGAAGTTCGCTGCCACCATCTTTAGGACTCCGTCATGCTAAAGATTTTCATGTCAGCGTGATCCACAGTTGCAGAACCGTTTTCGATGTAAGAGTATGTTGTGAGAACGATTGCTGCCACTACTTTATATTAAGCACTGCATTCCTACATACGTGATGTAAACATATTTATTTGTTTAGATGTGGATGATTTTTCCTGGTTCTGAAACACGGAAGCATGCTCAGAATATTTTTCGTTTCGTAATGTTAAATCGAGCGACTCCTAGTGAGTACGTCACCATGCATCTCCGCTGACCCTGTTCCGTGTTGGCAGACGCAAGAACCTGCACATCAACAGACTGCCCATAACAAATATGGCGTTTTAGCTGTGGTTTTGATTCTCTCATATCCTGGTCAGCCAGCTAAGCAAGTTTTGAAATAACAGGTGAAAACTCGCGGAAAACAGGCAGAACTCTGGACACTTTAGTACTGATTCGGGGTGTTGTGTTGCATTGAACTTGTGACAAAAGACTCGAAAATGTTCGTATTGCAGGGGAAACCTTTTCTAAAACCAGTCCCCCCAACACAAACCCTGAGTTAGTTGAAGCGGCCCAAATTACCTGACAGCAGCTGCTGGGGGGATCAACTCATTCCTCACTTCCAGGCTGAAGCTAGGGTTTGGTGGTCCCTAGGACTGGCACTGAGATCCATGCCAGAGCGTGTAGCCAAACGTTATCCTCCCGGCGACGAAGGCGCGGGTTGCGGGAACATCATTTTCGCAATTAGCGCTTCGGCCGCTGCGGTCCCCACTTTCAGCGAATCGTGTGGCGTTTTCATCTGATTTTTTGCCTATTCGTTAGCCCAACGGTTCTGCCTCACCTTGGCGCCAACAGGCTTAGCTCTTTCATGTTTTACCACCCACGCGCACTCCCTTTGGCCCATTCGCGGCTCGGTTCTTACCCCACTCACCTCCCGTTCAGCCCCAATCCGTGCCCCTCCGTTCACCCGTCAATTTCCCAATTCACCATTTCCCAACCAATTCGCCTCGGAAAATCTCAGCCGAAAGGGGTCGTCAAGCCTGACGACCCTCCGACGACTTGACGACATGCTGCCCCGGGCAGAAAAAAACTAAAACCCCATCGGATGGCATGCCATCCGAGGGAGCCTCAACCCTAAACACCATGCCTCCCCGCGTTTAGGGTTGAGGCTCCCTGACCGGATGCATGCCCGTCTGGGGTTTATTTTTTTTGCCCGCGGGCAGCGAGCTCCCCCGGGCGGACTCGCTTGTCCGCTGAGATATATTCGGCGTTCTCGCCTCCTGATATTGTCCTAGTTTTCCTCATTTCGGCATTGCGTTCAAACGATACATTCAGTCTGTTCGATTGAAGGGCCAACCGCTGCAACATCTCAACCGCCTTGGAGCAACGTTGCTGACCTTGCGCCGAGCTATGAACTAGTGGAGCCATGTCGCCGCCGAGCTGACTGCTTTGAGACGGCGAAAGCTCAGCCTATTTTCATTTGCAGCAACGCATTGTGTAAGTTTTCAAAATATCGTTGTGACGCGCATGTTTCCTGTTTTTGCATTGTTTTCTTTGCTTTCTGCGCGGCGACCATTATTCTGACCAAGTTTTTTCTACCCGCGCAGGAACCGAGTGTACAAGACGACTCAAGATCCTCGGCAGAACGCGAAGAGCGACTCAAGACGTGCAACGAGCAACTTCAACACGCCTCCAGTCAACGTTGCAACGACAAACACGCTAAGATCCGCGACGCGTCCTGCAGTCAACGTCGTCGGCGTGAAGTCAACGCGCGCGTCAGCGTCGCGTGCGGCTTCGATCCTACAATCAATGATGAGTACCACCGGCGGGTCGCCGTCCATCTCTCTTTTCTCGCATGCTCCCGACGCTCTTTAGCACACCCAATCCCCCCCGGTACAGGTTCCAGGTGCAGATGTAGCTGGTACAGGTATTCCCCCGGGTACAAGTGCAGGTGAGAATCAGGTTTAAACTCAGGTATTTTTGGGTGTGCTATAGCAGCCTCTGCTTTGCGTCTTCGGTTTTCGCCTTCATTCCTGTCGCTTTCCATGCATGTGCTGCTTCCCTTCCTCTCGTCACTCATTTGTACTCCGCTCTTCCTCCCCGTTGTTCCAGGAGGCTCTTCGTGCTGTACTCGTCGCGGCTCTCCGCTGTCCGCTCGATTCAACGCTGCGACAACGTAACGCCCTGCTTCCGCGAGTCAACGCGTCAGGATCCGCGCGACGCTATCCTGCAGTCAACGCTGTCGGCGTGGAGTCAGCGCGCGTGGGCGCGTCGCCTTGGGCTTCTATCCGACAATGATGAGTACCACCGGCTCGCGGTGCTCTGTAGCACCCGCAAGCCACCCCCCGGTTCAGGTCCCAGGTGCAGGTGTAGCTGGTACAGGTGTTCCCCGGTTCAGGTGCAGGTGAGAATCAGGTCAGACCGGTACAGGTTCGGCCTTGGTACAGACTCAGGTATTTTTGGGTGTGCCAGCAGCCTTTGCATGTGCGCTCTCTTCGTCTGTGCTGCTTCCCTTCTTCTCTTTCTCGTGCCTCTTCACTCATTTGTATTCCGCTCTTCCTTCCCGTTGCTCTTCTTTCTCGTTGTACTCATCGCGGCCCTCCGCTTTCCGCTCGCTTCAACACTTCAACAACGCAGCGCGCTGCTTCTGCGGGTCAACGCGCTGTTTCCGCGGGTCAACGATCTGCTTCCGCGAGTCAACGCGCTACCCGGCAGAAAGATGAGTATTCCTGCTCTGATGTCGTCTTGTATTTTGAATGCATTTTGACTCTCTCTAGCTGCTTGTAGCATACTCAAGCTCCCCCTTTTTTTGTAAGGTAATACTATCAGGTACCCCTTATTATTATTTTATCCTCCCCTTGGTACGTTAAGGTACAGGTCCCCTCCCCTAAACTCCTCTTGAGTTTGCTACAGCAGCGTCTTTGGCCTTTGCCTGCATGCATGTCCGTCGCTCCGTCAGTGCTGCTTCCCTCCTTCTCTTCCGCATGCCTCGTCACTCATTTGTACTCCGCTCTTCCTCCCCGTTGCTCCAGGAGGCACTTCGCGTTGCACTCATCGCGGCTCTCCGCTTTCCGCTCGCTTCAACACTTCGACTATGCAGCGCGCTGCTTCCGCCGGTCAACGCGCTGCTTCCGCGGGTCAACGCGCTACCCGACAGAAAGATGAGTATTCCTGTGCCCATGCCCGCGACCGTTTTCCGTTTGTCATTCGCGTGCTTGCTCTGATTTCGCTCCGTCAGTTGAATGCGCTAACGCGTCGCTCTAGCTGCCTGTAGCAGACTCAAGCCCCCCCCCCCTATTTTTTTAAAGGTACATACTATCAGGTATCCCTTATTATTTTTATCCTCCCCTTGGTACGATAAGGTACAGGTCCCCTCCCCTTAACCCCTCTTGAGTGTGCTACAGCAGCGTCTGCTTTTCGCCTTTGGTCTTTGCCTGCATGCATGTCCGTCCGCTTCGTCTGTGCTGCTTCCCTTCTTCTCTTACGCGTGCCTCGTCACTCATTTGTACTCCGCTCTTCCTCCCCGTTGCTCCAGGAGGCACTTCGCGCTGTGCTCATTGCTGCTCTCTGCTCGCTTCAACGCTGCCGCGAGTCAACGCGCTGCATCCGCGAGTCAACGCACTGCATCCCTGCATCCGCGAGTCAACGCGCTGCATTCGCGAGTCAACGCGCTGCTTCCGCGGGTCAACGCGCTGCCCGCCAGGAAGATAAGTATTCCTGTGCCCATGCGTGAGACCGAATTCCCGTTCGTCATTCGCTTTGCCTTGATTTCGCTCCGGCGTTTTATATGCGTTTTGTCGTCGCTCTAGCTGCTTGTAGCATACTCAAGGCCCCCCTTTTATTTTAAGGTACATACTATCAGGTATCCCTTATTTATTTTATCCTCCCCTTGGTACGATAAGGTACAGGTCCCCTCCCCTTAACCCCTCTTGAGTGTGCTACAGCAGCGTCTGCTTTTTGCCTTTGGTATTTGCCTGCATGAATGTCTCCGCATGCCTCTTCACTCATTTGTACTCTGCTCTTCCTCCCCGTTGCTCCAGGAGGCACTTCGCGCTGTATTCAATGCTGCTCTTTGCTCGCTTCAACGCTGCTGCGAGTCAACGCGCTGCATCCGCGAGTCAACGCGCTGCATCCGCGAGTCAACGCGCTGCATTCGCGGGTCAACGCGCTGCCCGTCAGGAACCCCTAGCGTCAAGGAACGTGCCTTCGGCGGGCGTCACGGGGAGGCGCACAAGGGGAGTCGCTGTGGGGACGTGCGTGGGAGGCAGCAGCGGGTGGACTTGGCTCTCCCTCAGCCACCAGCGCACAGCGACCAACAGATGAGTATCACTCCGCCAGCCCTTCCCGCTCGTTTCGCATGCCCCATAGCACTCCCAAGCCCCCCATTTTATGTCAAGGTTAAGACTGCCACTCAGGTACTCCCTCCCCTTGGTGCAAAACTTTTTATTCCCCTGGTAAGGTAAAGGTCCCCCCCCCTCCGCTCGGGTGTGCTTCAGCAGCCATGCTTGCATCCGCTTTCGCACTCAATTCCCATCCCCCCCCCCCCCCCCCCCCCCACCATTCCCCCCACCTCTCCCCCCGCTCCGCCCCTTGACCATCTCAGTGCCCTGCTGGCGTCAACGAACGGCTGTCGCTTTGCCTGGCGGACGCTCGTCAAGGGGCGTGGGGCGTGGAGACAGCAGCAGAGGCAGCAGCGGGTCGTCTTGGACTCCCCAACAGGCATCAGCCACAGAGCGGCCAACAGATAAGTACCGCTTCACCAGCCTCTCTCCTTCTGCCTTTCACCGTTTTCCCGCTCCTTTGTCGTTTTGCATGCTTGTCTCGTTTATCCTTATCGCTCTAGCTGCCTGTGGCACACCCAAGGTCCCCCCCTCCTGGTATCTCAAGGTGTAGGTCATCAGGTGCCCCCGGTACAGGTACAAACCTCCATCCAGGTCCCTTGGTACGGTATGGTGAGATTCAGGTCCCTTGGTACGGTATGGTGAGATTCAGGTCCCCTCCCCCCTGTCTTGGGTGTGCTACAGCAGCGTAGGCAGTGCATGGCATGCTCTCTCGTTTGCACTCTCCACTCGTTTGGATCTGCATCCGCACTCCCCACTCACTCACTCCCTCCAACCCCCATCACTTCCCGCCCCCAGGGTGCCAATGGGAGAAGATGTCTGTGGGGAAGGGCGCAGCTGCTGCACTGCACCCATCTGCACCTCAACTCGACGCAGTTAAGTACCCCAACTGGCCCTTCTCCTTGACCCTTCGTTTTTGCTGCCGTCCTTGCTTTCAGCACTGCTGCACTTGCTATTTTTCAGCACTTCTGTACTTACTCTTGTGAATGTTCTTCAAACATCAGGTACTAATCGTTTTCTCTGCACCCCTTGGCAGGTTCATCCACTGTGGTGGTCGCTGGTGTTGGCGGTGGTGGTGGTGTTGGTGTTGGTGGTTGGTGGTGTTGGCTGTGGTAGCTGGTGGTGGTGGTGGTGGTGGTGGCGGTGGTGGTGGAGGGTGGTGGTTGGGGGGAGGCCTTGAGTCTGGATTCCAATAGCCGCACGTTTAAGGCATAATGGACGATCACCAGACCCTGCGGCCGGGGGTCTGGTGTGGCTCCCCTCTTGCCACGTAGGTGAGGGTTCAGGTCTTGGGGTCGCTCCTCAGCCCCACTCTGGAGTGGTGGTGGAGAGTGGCTGGAAGTGGTGGTGGGGAGTGGTTGGGAGTGGTGGTGGAGAGTGGTTGGAAGTGGTGGTGGAGAGTGGTGGTGGTCCTGTGGAGTACTGCAGTTGGTGGTGTCGTAGGGTAGTGAGGAGGCTGATACTTATGTGACTATTGTGCTGTTATTAGTGAAATAAGGATGTGGATCTAGTACAATTTAGGGCTGCGTAGCTCCTAGGCTGTGTTGAACCTCTAGTTAGTATGAGCCATTGTTCTGCACAATTATTTCCGTATAAATATCTACTAGCAGTTAGTAATGAATTTCAGTATGAGTGCAACATTCTGTACCTCATGAATTCAAAGAGCAACCTTTTCCGCAAGCAGCAAATATTTAGGTTGGCCGACAGCCGCGATGGAAGCATTGCTTGCAGTTCCACTTTCTTGCTTCCTTCGACAATCGCACTCGCAGTTCCGCTTTGGTCGGCGACCTCGCTCGGAGCTCGTCTCAGCTTAGCTTTTGACGACGCAGCCATGGTTCGTAGGCTTCCACCTTGTTTGCCTGCCACTTGTACTTGTCGTAGGTCGTTTGCCGTCGTTGGTCGCTCTTTAGAGTGTTTCGGCTCCTTGGTCTCCATGTTTTTGCCACCGCTCTCACGTTATCCGCGCTTAGGCTTCCGTCTTCTTCCCTCGTCGCTTATTGCCTTCCTCTGTCATCTCTTCTCGCCTCTCTCGTTTCTCCACTCTCCTTTCTTTGTCGTCCCCCCGTCCGCTCGTCGCGAGCGCGCCAGACGACGTCGAAGCGCGTGGTGGAGCGCAAGAGCGCGCGGTTTCAGGGCAACATCGCGCGGCGAGGGAGCGTGCCGGAGACGGTGGCGAAGAAGGGCGACAAGTACCCCGTCAGCACCATCGTCATCGTCTTCTTCATCTTCGTTGTTGTTGGCTCCGGTATGCCTTCCATAGACTGAGTCTTGTATGCCTTGCACTTGCACGGACTGAGTCTTGTATGCCTTGCACTTGCACGGACTGCGTCGTTTGCAATTTCTGGATATTTGTCGTCGAGTACTTGTTCCACCAGCACGATGCATCTATCCTCCTGTTCCTCAGCGTTGTTTGCTGCTTCTTAATTGGGCTTCTTCACTTCTGCTCCTTGCCTCCCGTGCCTTTCCTTCTTTTCTAGCTTGACTCATCAGCTTTCCAGCCCGCTTCCCCCTCCTCCATGCCACAATTCCTCTGTGCTCTATCTGACTGATCTCATTTTCTCGTTGCTCCTGCTGCCCGTTCCCCTGCCAGCTCTCTTCCAAATCATCCGCAATGCCCAGACACGCACAGTTGACTAACCACAAGTTGTTCTGTGAAACAGTTTCAATGGGTGCTAGTGATTATTACCTTCTAGTTGCAAACTTGGGGTTGGCGCTCACCCCAAGGCTTGTGGGGCAGCCTGCGTTACTTGCCTCGTCTAGTTTTGTCATGCTTTTTTTGTGCGTATGTAATGTGCATTTGCCCTCAGTGATATGAAAAACGTTTGTATGTGCTGATTTTTATATCGTGGTGTTCTGAACTGTACCGAGATCCCATCTTCTTGGGATCTGCGTCAGCCGAACCTCCCCACCACCTCATCTCGCCCAACCCACTCCGTCGCGCGCAACAACTTCAGTTCAGATCCCTTTCGCGTAGAGCATTGCTGCCATTACAGCGTAGTATCACGCCATACCATAGATCAGCGACACCGCCCGTGTGCTGATACTAGCGCGTCTCGTCGCCAGGCTTTTCGCGTGTTGTCGAGCGATCCTCAGCCATGGCTCTGCCGGTCGCGTGGGCCGCAGTCGGCGCCGGCACGATCGCGATGTCGCTGTTTAAACGAGGCAGGAAGAAAGCTGGGGAGTCGTCCAACGCGGCGAATCCCGCGCTTTCACCTGACACTGACGACAAGCCGTCACTGGATCCGCCGTCGCCGCCAGCTGTTGCGGAAACAGATGGCGGCCGGTACGACGCGCCCGGTGACGGCACGAGTGACACGGCCGGCGGCGAGGGGTCGACGCTGCGGAGGAGGCGGGGGAAAGGGGAAGGCGGAAGTAAGGCGGGGGGGACAGCAGCGGAAGCGGAATCCCCGCGGGAGAGTCGCGGAACTGCGGAAGGCGGAGCGGTGAATAGCGCGGCGAGTGGGGTGACTGACGACACGGGATCTGGGGAGGATTCGCGACCGGCGGCCGAGGCGACCTCGGGAGAAGATGATGCAGGCAATGAGGTTGGCGGTGCAAGCGAATGCGAAGACGCGGAAGCGTCGGAAAGTGCGGCGGAGGGAGCGGAGGACGAGCAGAGTGGCGGGGAGTTGGCTGGGGAAAGGCGAGAACAAGCAGCGGAAGGGGGATGCTTGGCAGCAGCAGAAGCAGCACGGGAGGCGAATACAGCGGCAGTGAGTGCTTGCAAGGCGTCCGATGAGCCAGGCGCGCGCGGCACGCCTGACGCGCAACGCAAGGAGACTGCTGCTGAATCCCCACCCAAGGCGGTGCAGCCCCCCACAGCACCGCAGACGAAGCCGCGCCAGCAGCCGCTGGGGGTGTTCGTCTTCTGGCTCGTTTTCATTACCCTCACGGGGCTTATAGCGGGGATATTTCTCCTGGCGCAGTTTCTGTTCCTGCAGGACGCGGGGCGGCGCGACTTCATCTCCATCCCGCCGCTCGTGCGCGCCCACCTGGACCGCGGGCAGACCATCAAGGTCGCCGCGCCGGGCGCCGCGGCGGGCGGGGCGGGCGGGCGCGGGCAGCAGGGGGAGGTTGAGGTGTTTGTGCGCACGGAGGGGTGGGGGACAGGTCGGGGGAGGAGATGGGGCGCGGACGGCGGAGGTGGCGGGGGCGGTGGGGACCAAGCGGGGGAAGGGCGGAGTAAGGAGGTGGTGGTGCTGCTGCATGGGTTGGGCGGCAGTTCATTCCTGTACCGTGACGTCATCACTCTCCTTGCTGACAGGGGGCTCAGAGCACTCGCGCTTGACCTCCCAGGGTCAGGGCTATCCACCAAATTAACCTCAGAAGAAGAGGGTGCAGCGGCAGTTTACCCTCCACACCAACTCGCGCGAATCCTAGACAGGGTGTTGGAGGCCCTTGGGATTGCCGAGCCGGTGCACCTGGTGCTGCATGATACGGGCGGCGTGGTCGGCACGTTGTGGGCGGCGGACAGCGTGCATCGAGTGCGAAGCATAACGCTCATTGACACGCCCATGGAAGAACCTTTCGCTCCCGCATTTCCCCCCGCATGGCTCCTCCACTACCCGCATCTCACTGCCCTTGCTGCCCGCTCTGTCTTCCCCGTTGCTGCCCTCCTTGCCTCCTGCTGCGTCAGCGCTCGCGTGGCGGATGACGTGGCGCGGGCCCACGCGTACCTGCTGCAGGCGCATGGGGGCATCCACGCTGCCATGCTGGCGCGCCAGCATGGCAATCTGACGCATGACATGGCGCGGACGGTGCAGCGGCATGCAGAGAGGGCGCTGGGTCGGGTGCCGAGGCAGCTGCTTTGGTCCGGCGAGGCGGAGGAGCAGGGCGAGGAGGTGCAGTCGCACTGGCCTCTGGCAGACCTCCACCTGCATGACGGCAAGCGCTGGCCCCAGGTGCGTGCTTGCACCTTGTTCATGAGGCGTGTAAATATATCGTTTGCAGATGTGCGCTCGCTGCGTTTTTATGGGGCACCTCTGATGTAGAACCGGGGTGTGTGCTTGAGGTTTCACTCTCTTTGAGTCTGTCGATCTCTGCCCCTTGACCGCGTTGACACAGACCACATGCACGGCACAGCACATCATTCTCACCTCCCTTCACTCTCGTTCCGTCCACACCAACCAGGAGGACCATCCAGGGGACATAGCCGAGGCGATTGCGAGGTTCGTAGCTGCCCAGCCTCCACTGCCTGCCGTGACAGGTACAGGTAGGGGTGGTGGCAAGGAGCACAGAAGCAGGCCTGCTGCTGCTGCTGGTGTTGGGAAGGCCAAGGGGGGGAGTGGAAACCACCACCACCATGGTCATGCGCATGGGCATGAGCATGAGAACAGCCATGGGCACGGTTTAGGCTACATGGAGGATATTCACCAGGGCCCAGGCACAGGGCATGGTGGCTGGGTTATGTAAGTTATCTAGAGCGTTCCTCAAGTCCATGGTTCTGTCGTAAATTCGTCCAGTAGATTGATAGCATTGCTTTGAAGCTCCTTGACATGTTATGTCGCCCAATCTGTCTCTCTGGCTAGTACATATGTATTCCAGCTGCGGCTTCCAGTTGTGTATGCTGTTTTGGGGACATTCTAGTCATGGCTATTAGTCTGTCTACTCTGTTTTCTTCATTGTAGTGTTCATTCATGTCCATGGTCCCAACAAGTCAAATTTGCAAGCACAGAATAAATATCGATCTCCTATCTATTCAAAGCGTGCCACGTCAGCTCATACACAACATCATGTTGACAGCGGAGCAGAATTCGGGCTGGTACCGAATCACGATTCAGAAGACTCCTTCGGCCCTGCAAGACTGGGTGGCGTGGCACGTCGCGATTGCGCATTCCATACGTGATGTTGCGCTCTTTCGCCATCTCCCATGTGTGAGTATGTGATCTGTTTCATGTTTCCGCATCATCGAACGTTGGCTCCATCTTTGTAGCTAGAGAGATCCTTTGTAGTTCCGTTTTTGTTGCAGATGCAGAAAGCTCACGGCGGTTCTCAAATTCGCTTTCACCGGTGACGGAGAGTGTAACCAGGCGTAGATTAGAGGCTTTGTTCCTCTCTTCGCCATTTCTAGACTTCATCGGTCTGCGGCGATGGCGGCGCATGCAGTGCGCTTGCCGAAGACGGGCATGTCGATGCCGCTTCGTTTAACGGCGTCCCCGGCTCGCCAAATCTCAAGTACATCCTTCAAGCGGGTTCCACTACGTCGAGGTACGTTCGATCATTCCATCTCCTGACAATACTTCCTTCATAGTTGTCGAGAAAAACAGAGTCGATGCGAGAACGAGCTGAGCCAAGGATGCAATCATACCGTTTGAAAGAGTGCACGAACTAATCGACGCTTACTGGTTCTGGCTTCACGCAGGCCGCATGGTTACTCGTGGCGCGACCGAGCAAGAGAAGAAAGGTCAGTCATGCCCACACTAGCAATGCCTCGATAATGTCACACGCACTTGTTTGCCACAGAACAGCCCGAGTGGCTTATCTCACTGCTTCCAATCACTCTCTACCACCTCTCCTTCCTCCCCGCGTCGCGCGTCCCTGTACTTGGCAGCGCTGATCGTTTCTCCCAAGTCCGCGGCCCCCGCGTTGACCGGCAAGTGGCGCGCGGCATTCTCGAAGGCAACGCAGCGGTTGGTGGAGCTGGACGCGCGGGGGCAGCGGCAGGTGGTGCAGGCGGAGACGCAGAAGCAGCTGGCGGAAGACCGCGCGCGCGGGCGCTGGCAGGTCATGTGGGAGCGGACGCGCGAGTGGTTGGCGAAGGAGCGCGCGCGCGGGCAGTTGAAAGTGGCGCGGGCGCACGAGAAGGAGAAGGTGGCGGCGGAGAGAGCGGAGGGGCGGTGGGCGTTTGTGAAGGCGAAGGGGGAGCAGCGGATCACCGCGGAGAAGGTGCGCGGAATGTACGACGTGGCGCGCGCAAGGGCGAACGAGCGGCTCACTCAAGTGCGGACGCAGGGGCAGTGGCAGGTGGCATGGGCCAACGCGCGCAAGAGGCTTGCGCAGGTGGAAGGCACGCTCAAGGCACGAAACGGTGTTGCGCAGGCGGAGGTGAACGCGCGCCTGGCGCAGGAGAAGGCGCGAGAGCGGTTGCAGGTGGCGAGCGCGCGTGAACGGGCGCGGATGGCGGAGGAGCAGGCCAAGGGGCGCGTGATGCTGGCGAGCGCGCGGACGAACCGGCAGCTGGCGAAGGAGCGGTTGCGCGGGCGCGTGAAGGTGGCGTGGGCAAAAGCCAAAGAGCGCATCGAGAAGGAGCGAGCCAAGGGGCGGTGGGCCGTGATGTGGGCCAAGGCGAACGAGGCGCTGGCGCGGGAACGAACGCGCGGCAGATGGGATGTGCTGGTGGCGTCCACGAGACAGCGGCTGGCGGAGGTACGGGAGAAGGGGCGGCTTGATGTGGCGTGGAGTGGTTGGAAGTGGTTGGAGGAGCAGCAGTGGCCGAGAAGACAGAAAAGGATTGCAAGCCCTCCGGCGAAGCTGGGTAGTGGCGCTAAGATCATCGACCTGTGATGTTGCCGTGCCATGCAGTGAGAGGCGTTGGGGCCTGGCGTGGGGGTTGCTCCTCTTGCCTGTTTGGAATGGGGGCTGCCAGCCTCAGTCCCAGCTGTGCATCTTGCTGCTCTGCTATCTCATCGCATCCATTCATTCAATAATACACACACACACACACCCGGGTATTACACCCAGGGGTGCTTACTACTGGGCGGAGTTGTATCTGGGGGATTACAGGTATTTTGTATCAACATACAGGCCCAAACTTGTGTTGAGATGTCCAGTTGATACGGTTGGTAAGTATCCAGCATATACCCCCACATGCAGTCCTCAAGGACAACTTTCCTGGGTTCATTACCCAATCATGCATACACAATGTGCTTGGACGGTTGTGCAAGTGTGGTTAGTGCATTCTCACCTTGCTTGCCACCTGTCCATTGCCATACTTATTGCTGGTGACTGTTGTTCCATGCTACATTTCAAGATGGATAATCCCAGCGCTATCCACTTTGCTGGTTCTCATTAACTGAAATGGCTTGTTCATATGCTTTGTTTGGACACTCCTTTGTTTATTTACAGCTTCAGCTGCCTTCTTGTAGCATTTCATGTTTGATATTTCAAAAAGTCCTCCAAAATCTCCAGGAAGGCGGGAACAGCTGAGATGGGCTGTCCAATCCCGAGGCTCCCGCAGGAGCCCACCAATGGGGCTAGCAGGCGAGGCGAGGAGTTTTGTCGACAACACCGATGCCTGGCAGGCACGCGCACTGGCAGGCCAATCCGTGAACTGAATTCCTGAATGCTAGGCGCATCAGTATTTAAAACCGGAGTCTCAAGTATCCCAAAGTTGCCTCATCCTTCCTACCTTTGGTTGGGTTACAAAGTCCAACCAAGCTTCCTACCTTAGGTTTTGTCACTAACTCCAACCAACCTTCCTACTTATGAAACCTGTGGACCCTGGGGTTTAAAGCCCGCGGCCCAAATTGCGGGCCGCGCGGGTCAAGTTTTTAAAACTTGATGAAGTGCCCTGTTCAAGCTTTGAAAGGTACCGCAGGTGCAATTTGGGACTTCCGAAGTCCAACACACCCACTAGGGAGAAGTCGAGGGGCCTTTTGGGTTTGGCGAAAAAAAACGAATGTGACGAAATAAAAAACACTCGCCAAAACCCAAACCTCAAAAACTCCCTCTCGTCATCTTTTTAAAACTTGTGCAATTTGGGCCGCCGGCTTTAAGAGGAATCAGGATTCAGGATCAGTAGGTGATGCTCATTGAAGCACTCTTTAGTTTTCTGCTGCCACTGATGTTCCAGAAGCACATTCATAGTGCTGAGGGAGGTTCTTGTGGCTGCAGTTGATCATCCCGAGCTTGTTGTGATTCAAGCTAGACATTTCGGACGCATCGTATTAGCCTTCACGTCCGCATCATAACAAGGGAGATCGTTTTCGAATCAACATACGCGCTTCCGTATCCTCGTGTTTCTTCTTCCTCACCTGCTAGACTAATGATGGAGTCCTTGATATCGCCGAGCCACGTCACCAGAGCAGTCCGAGTCAGTCACTCACTGGTCCTCTTGCAAAGTTCTCCTCTTAGACCAACACGATCATGTCCAGGACCCCTCGTGCGCATCACGGGATCCGCTTGCAGTCCAAGAGGCCCTCACCCGACCTCCACCTTCAGACCACGCATTGCGCTCACACGTTGTCTAGGACCGACGGCGCCGAGCCAAGCAAGCTCTCGAACGGGCTTCGCAGCGACCTCGCGTGGTCTTCCCGTCGGCGTCGGCTGGAGGAGCCTTGGAGGCGTGGCGCGGGGTGGAAGCTGCAGAGGGAAGGATCGTCGCAGTCGGAGTGAAATCGTTCGTGCAGCTGCGCAAGGGTCGGCGGTGGAGCAGCAGCAGGTTGACGGGGTGGTGCAGGACGGAGTGTCGCGCACGAGCAGCAACGGCACAGCAGGAGCTACAGATGAAGAGATTCTGGTAACCAGAACTACTAGGCACTACGGTACTCACGACTCTCCGAGTTTTCCCAGCATCGTGCCTCTCGGGCTTCGTTCACACGACTCAACGAATCCCGTTTCCTCCTTGCGTGCTGCACATCACCGGCCTGTGCGCCTGCACTATCGCTGTGCGTGCAGGCGATGCTCCTGCTGCCAGAGCAACGCTAGATGACCGCACGTACAATACGAGTGACGTTTGATCTGTCTTCCCCGATCTGCAGGCGTCGATTCCCGCGCTCGGCGCGACGCTGGACGGCCACGGGGGCTGCGTGTTCCGCGTGTGGGCTCCGCACCCTCAGCGCGCCACCTTAGTCGTCAAGCGCGTCTCGCCCGCCCGCGCTGGCGCTGGTGGCGGTGACGCGGAAGGCGCGGCAGCAGAAGGCGAGAGGGTGGAGATGGGGCGCGACGGCAACATGTGGTTCGCGCGAGTTCCGAACGTTGTTGCCGTGAGTGCCCCATGCTGCGTGACGTGGATATGATGGTCTTGATTACGGCGGTGAGGACGCGGCAAGCGTGTCTCGTGACTGTGGATGACTGCGATTACAGCACCCGCAAAAATTTAGGTTCCTTCCCCTTCACCTACCGCGCGATTGCCTCTCTTCCTGCACTTTCCGTGCGCCTTGCCTGTGCCCCCGGGGCCTATTCTACCCGTCGTGCTCCAGGGCGACCGGTACCACTTCGTGTTCGAGTGGGAGGGTAAAATCCTGGAGAGGCGGGACGCGAGGGCGCGCGCGACGGACTACTCGAGCAACGACTGCATCGTGGTGGACCCGCGCTTCCCCTGGACCCCCTTTGAGCCGCCCCCGTTCGAGGCTCTCAATATTTATCAGCTGCACGTTGGTGCTTTCACTGGGTGAGTGCACGGGTGAAAGGGTTGGTAATTGATGTCTGTATGGGCGGATGGTGGATGGATGAATGGTGATAGATGGATTTATTGATGGATACTGATATGGGTGGAATGCGGTGGGATGCAATGAGATAGATGCCTGTGCAGGTGGCCGAGAAATGACGATTCTGCTCGTGCACTTAACCTGGCCATGCACATTGAATCAGCCATGGCACCGAGTGTGTGTGACACCATGCGCCCCGCGCCCTGCGCTCCGTGCCTGACATGTGCAGGCGACTGCCGGGTGGCGGCACCTTCGCCGCCCTCAAGGAGAAGCTGCCGTACATCAAGAGCCTCGGATTCAACGCCGTCCAGGTCAGTTACTGCTCACGGCATGCGAGGCGGGGGGGTGATGGGGAGCGGGGGGCGATGGGGAGCGGGGGGTGATGGGAAGCGGGGGGTGATGGGGAGCGGGGGGTGATGGGGAGCGGGGGGTGATGGGAAGCGGGGGGTGATGGGGAGCGGGGGGTGATGGGAAGCGGGGGGTGATGGGGAGCGGGGGGTGATGGGAAGCGGGGGGTGATGGGAAGCGGGGGGTGATGGGGAGCGGGGGGTGATGGGGAGCGGGGGGTGATGGGGAGCGGGGGGGTGGGGGGGGGGGAGCGGGGGGCGATGGGGGGTGGGGGGCGATGGGAGGCGGGGGGTGATGCGAGGCGGGGGGTGATGCGAGGCGGGGGGTGATGCGAGGCGGGGGGTGATGCGAGGCGGGGGGTGATGCGAGGCGGGGGGTGATGCGAGGCGGGGGGTGATGCGAGGCGGGGGGTGATGAGAAGTGCGGAGCCTGAATGGATGTTGACAAGGCGAGCAGAGGCTGTGAATTAAAGGATTATAGTCCTCCCCTCTGTGCGTGTGTGGTCCGTGCAGATGCTGCCAGTGCACGAGTACTGCGGGCAGTGGGGCTACAACCCCCGCCTGCTGTTCGCCCCGCACCCCTTCTACGGCACCCCCCTGGAGCTCCGAGAGCTGGTTGATGCTGCCCACTCCCAAGGTGAGGCTCGCTGGTGCGTGCTGCATGCTGGCATAGGGGAGCTGCAGCTGGGTAGCAGGACCACTGTTCCTCTGCCACCACATGCCACATGCTGTGCCACTCCTTCACCTCCTTGCACATGACATGCCAGCCCATGCGATCATGCCATGCCATCCCATACCATGTCGTATGTGCCATGTGCCATGTGTCACGTGCAGGCATGGCGGTCATCTTTGACGTGGTGCTGCACCATCTCGCGCCCAACCTCAACAGGTGGACTCATGGGGCCGCATTCCCTTCCTGGATGCTGGATGGGGGATGGGGGATGCTGAATGGTGGACTGTGGGTGTTCATGTGTGCCACGTATGTCAATTTGATTAGTCTTGAGATGGAGGGGGTGCTTATGTTGCCCGGTGCTGACTGGCCTTTCATGGAGATAGTTTCGATTTTCCGATTTCGGTTTTTCTATTTTTTGGATCAACGTTGAACTCATTTGTTTGCATCTCCTGTTCCCTTACCTCCTCTTTCTCAACTCGCCTTCATGCGTGCTTGCGTGTCCACATCCCTCCTCCTTCCTTCCCAGCCTGTGGGAGTATGACGGACCCACCAAGAGGGGAGGTGAGTGAGAAAGATCTCGCCAGCAGCCCCTTCACTGCCACCATCCGCTCACCACCATTACTTCTCTCTCTCCGAACCGATGTCCACAGTTTCTCCCCTTGGCTCTCCCATCTCTCCCATGTTCCAGTCTCCGTCACAATCACCTGCCCAAAAGTTCCCCTCCTCTCCTCACGTCTTCGCATGTCTGTGCTCTCCCCACCCCATCTTCGCGTCCCATATCCGTGTGCCCACGGCCATCAGGGCTGTACTTCGATGGGGGCGGCGACTCATCATGGGGCAAGACCTTTGCGTGGTGGCAGCAGGAGGTGAAGGACATGGTGCTCGATGCTGCTCGCCTCTTCCTCCACGAGTACAACGGTGCGTGCCTGCTGCCCCTCCAACCCATGCGCTGCCATGCCATCATGAGATGCAATCGCATGCCATCCAGTGCTCGCACCCCAATACGGTAACTACAATGCATTGCAGTTTTTGCATGAATTAATTTTCTGCAGATCCTCTGTACTCTACCTGTCGTCTTGTCATGAACCTGCCGTGTCACGCCTATGTACGCTCCTCCTTTCCCATCAGCATGCCAGGATCCAGTGACCTCTGCCCGCCCTGCCCCCTCCTCCCGTCCGTCACTGCCACCACCACGCTTCTCCCCCCCACCTATCCCCCCCTCTCTCCTTCCCTGGGAGCGCAGGCGACGGGCTACGGTTTGACTGTGTGCACGCCATGCCATGGAAGGTGTCGCAGAGCCTCACGTGGCACCTGCACCGCGAGTTCCCCCACCGTATCCTCATCTCCGGTACAAGTCGCTGCTGCCACGCTCGCTCTCTCCTCCTGCACCCCCCTCACGCTCTCCTCGCCTGCACTCTTCACCCCTCAGCACCCGCACCTGAAACCCTCATTGTGCTGCAGCATTCTCGCATGTTTTCCGCTTCCAGTGCATACCCACTCACCACTCTCCACCCTGCCATCCCTGCATGTGCATGTCCATGCACATGTGTGTGCGCGCCCAGAGATCACACCCGAGGTACCGGAGGTGCTATCAGACGCGGGGTACGACGCGACGTGGATGCACACGTCCTTCTACAAGATGCGCTCCTTCATGCTCGCCGATGAGCCCCGCCCCCTGGGCCGCCTGCAGGCACTGCTCACCCTGCTGCCCGGCTACTCCAAGTCAACGCAGGTCAACGCCCCTCCTGCCCTCACTGCCTGTCTGCATGCTACTCTTGCCTTGTCTGCTTGCCGGGCGTGTTGGAGAGTGCGCTGGCTGGAGGGCAGGCACAGAAGCATGGACGCACATCTGTTGCCGCAGTTGCCTGTCTCAGCCTATCTTCTTACCGGTTGTGCCCCGTCATGCATTATGCCCGCAAATCCATCTTAACTTTGCGATCTACTGCTCGTGTCAGCACTTGGAACTCATGCCGTTGGTTCCATTCGAACCGAAAAACCGAACACGACACCCCCATGGTTGGTTGTGAATGATGGCAGTGTGTGAAGTACTTCCTGGGGTCGCACGACCAGATTGGGTGCCGCAGAGATGGCAGCTATGACGACGACATACAGGGCTACCACAGGTACGGTCACAAATAAGGTACTACAGGCACGGTAAGATGGGGGCGCTAAGTGGGGGCGCAATAGTGGGGCTCAAAACTGCACCTCAAACCTGCACCTCCAACCTGCACCTCCAACCTGCACCTCCAACCTGCACCTCAAACCTGCACCTCAAACCTGCACCTCAAACCTGCACCTCAAACCTGCACCTCAAACCTGCACCTCAAACCTGCACCTCAAACCTGCACCTCAAACCTGCACCTCAAACCTGCACGTCAAACCTGCACGTCAAACCTGCACGTCAAACCTGCACCTCCAACCTGCACCTCCAACCTGCACCTCCAACCTGCACCTCCAACCTGCACCTCCAACCTGCACCTCAAACCTGCACCTCAAACCTGCACCTCAAACCTGCACCTCAAACCTGCACCTCAAACCTGCACCTCAAACCTGCACCTCAAACCTGCACCTCAAACCTGCACCTCAAACCTGCACCTCAAACCTGCACCTCAAACCTGCACGTCAAACCTGCACGTCAAACCTGCACCTCCAACCTGCACCTCCAACCTGCACCTCCAACCTGCACCTCCAACCTGCACCTCAAACCTGCACCTCAAACCTGCACCTCAAACCTGCACCTCAAACCTGCACCTCAAACCTGCACCTCAAACCTGCACCTCAAACCTGCACGTCAAACCTGCACGTCAAACCTGCACGTCAAACCTGCACCTCCAACCTGCACCTCCAACCTGCACCTCAAACCTGCACCTCAAACCTGCACCTCAAACCTGCACCTCAAACCTGCACCTCAAACCTGCACCTCAAACCTGCACCTCAAACCTGCACCTCAAACCTGCACGTCAAACCTGCACGTCAAACCTGCACGTCAAACCTGCACCTCCAACCTGCACCTCCAACCTGCACCTCCAACCTGCACCTCCAACCTGCACCTCAAACCTGCACCTCAAACCTGCACCTCAAACCTGCACCTCAAACCTGCACCTCAAACCTGCACCTCAAACCTGCACCTCAAACCTGCACGTCAAACCTGCACGTCAAACCTGCACGTCAAACCTGCACCTCCAACCTGCACCTCCAACCTGCACCTCCAACCTGCACCTCCAACCTGCACCTCCAACCTGCACCTCAAACCTGCACCTCAAACCTGCACCTCAAACCTGCACCTCAAACCTGCACCTCAAACCTGCACCTCAAACCTGCACCTCAAACCTGCACCTCAAACCTGCACCTCAAACCTGCACCTCAAACCTGCACCTCAAACCTGCACCTCAAACCTGCACGTCAAACCTGCACGTCAAACCTGCACCTCCAACCTGCACCTCCAACCTGCACCTCCAACCTGCACCTCAAACCTGCACCTCAAACCTGCACCTCAAACCTGCACCTCAAACCTGCACCTCAAACCTGCACCTCAAACCTGCACCTCAAACCTGCACCTCAAACCTGCACGTCAAACCTGCACGTCAAACCTGCACGTCAAACCTGCACCTCCAACCTGCACCTCCAACCTGCACCTCCAACCTGCACCTCCAACCTGCACCTCAAACCTGCACCTCAAACCTGCACCTCAAACCTGCACCTCAAACCTGCACCTCAAACCTGCACCTCAAACCTGCACCTCAAACCTGCACCTCAAACCTGCACCTCAAACCTGCACCTCAAACCTGCACCTCAAACCTGCACGTCAAACCTGCACGTCAAACCTGCACCTCCAACCTGCACCTCCAACCTGCACCTCCAACCTGCACCTCCAACCTGCACCTCCAACCTGCACCTCAAACCTGCACCTCAAACCTGCACCTCAAACCTGCACCTCAAACCTGCACCTCAAACCTGCACCTCAAACCTGCACCTCAAACCTGCACGTCAAACCTGCACGTCAAACCTGCACCTCCAACCTGCACCTCCAACCTGCACCTCCAACCTGCACCTCCAACCTGCACCTCCAACCTGCACCTCAAACCTGCACCTCAAACCTGCACCTCAAACCTGCACCTCAAACCTGCACCTCAAACCTGCACGTCAAACCTGCACGTCAAACCTGCACGTCAAACCTGCACCTCCAACCTGCACCTCCAACCTGCACCTCCAACCTGCACCTCCAACCTGCACCTCAAACCTGCACCTCAAACCTGCACCTCAAACCTGCACCTCAAACCTGCACCTCAAACCTGCACCTCAAACCTGCACCTCAAACCTGCACCTCAAACCTGCACCTCAAACCTGCACCTCAAACCTGCACCTCAAACCTGCACCTCAAACCTGCACCTCAAACCTGCACCTCAAACCTGCACCTCAAACCTGCACCTCAAACCTGCACCTCAAACCTGCACCTCAAACCTGCACCTCAAACCTGCACCTCAAACCTGCACCTCAAACCTGCACCTCAAACCTGCACCTCAAACCTGCACCTCAAACCTGCACCTCAAACCTGCACCTCAAACCTGCACCTCAAACCTGCACCTCAAACCTGCACGTCAAACCTGCACGTCAAACCTGCACGTCAAACCTGCACGTCAAACCTGCACGTCAAACCTGCACCTCCAACCTGCACCTCCAACCTGCACCTCCAACCTGCACCTCCAACCTGCACCTCAAACCTGCACCTCAAACCTGCACCTCAAACCTGCACCTCAAACCTGCACCTCAAACCTGCACCTCAAACCTGCACCTCAAACCTGCACCTCAAACCTGCACCTCAAACCTGCACCTCAAACCTGCACCTCAAACCTGCACCTCAAACCTGCACCTCAAACCTGCACCTCAAACCTGCACCTCAAACCTGCACCTCAAACCTGCACCTCAAACCTGCACCTCAAACCTGCACCTCAAACCTGCACCTCAAACCTGCACCTCAAACCTGCACCTCAAACCTGCACCTCAAACCTGCACCTCAAACCTGCACCTCAAACCTGCACCTCAAACCTGCACCTCAAACCTGCGCGTCAAACCTGCGCGTCAAACCTGCACCTCCAACCTGTACCTCCAACCTGCACCCCTAACCTGCACCTCCAACCTGCACCTCAAACCTGCACCTCAAACCTGCTCTATTTGTGAGTCAACGCTCTATCTCTGCCGATGGGCGCTCTATTTGTGAGTCGACGCTCTATCTCTGCCGATGGGCGCTCTATTTGTGAGTCGACGCTCTATCTCTGCCGATGGGCGCTCTATTTGTGAGTCGACGCTCTATCTCTGCCGATGGGCGCTCTATTTGTGAGTCGACGCTCTATCTCTGCCGATGGGCGCTCTATTTGTGAGTCGACGCTCTATCTCTGCCGATGGGCGCTCTATTTGTGAGTCGACGCTCTATCTCTGCCGATGGGCGCTCTATTTGTGAGTCGACGCTCTATCTCTGCGGATGGGCGCTCTATTTGTGAGTCGACGCTCTATCTCTGCCGATGGGCGCTCTATTTGTGAGTCGACGCTCTATCTCTGCCGATGGGCGCTCTATTTGTGAGTCGACGCTCTATCTCTGCCGATGGGCGCTCTATTTGTGAGTCGACGCTCTATCTCTGCCGATGGGCGCTCTATTTGTGAGTCGACGCTCTATCTCTGCCGATGGGCGCTCTATTTGTGAGTCGACGCTCTATCTCTGCCGATGGGCGCTCTATTTGTGAGTCGACGCTCTATCTCTGCCGATGGGCGCTCTATTTGTGAGTCGACGCTCTATCTCTGCCGATGGGCGCTCTATTTGTGAGTCGACGCTCTATCTCTGCCGATGGGCGCTCTATTTGTGAGTCGACGCTCTATCTCTGCCGATGGGCGCTCTATTCGTGAGTCGACGCTCTATCTCTGCCGATGGGCGCTCTATTCGTGAGTCGACGCTCTATCTCTGCCGATGGGCGCTCTATTTGTGAGTCGACGCTCTATCTCTGCCGATGGGGGCTCTATTTGTGAGTCGACGCTCTATCTCTGCCGATGGGCGCTCTGTTTGTGAGTCGACGCTCTATCTCTGCCGATGGGCGCTCGATTTGTGAGTCGACGCTCTATCTCTGCGGATGGGCGCTCTATTTGTGAGTCGACGCTCTATCTCTGCCGATGGGCGCTCTATTTGTGAGTCGACGCTCTATCTCTGCCGATGGGCGCTCTGTTTGTGAGTCGACGCTCTATCTCTGCCGATGGGCGCTCTGTTTGTGAGTCGACGCTCTATCTCTGCCGATGGGCGCTCTGTTTGTGAGTCGACGCTCTATCTCTGCCGATGGGCGCTCTGTTTGTGAGTCGACGCTCTATCTCTGCCGATGGGCGTTCTATTCGTGAGTCGACGCTCTATCTCTGCCGATGGGCGCTCTATTTGTGAGTCGACGCTCTATCTCTGCCGATGGGCGCTCTATTTGTGAGTCGACGCTCTATCTCTGGCGATGGGCGCTCTGTTTGTGAGTCGACGCTCTATCTCTGGCGATGGGCGCTCTGTTTGTGAGTCGACGCTCTATCTCTGCCGATGGGCGCTCTATTTGTGAGTCGACGCTCTATCTCTGCGGATGGGCGCTCTATTTGTGAGTCGACGCTCTATCTCTGCCGATGGGCGCTCTATTTGTGAGTCGACGCTCTATCTCTGCCGATGGGCGCTCTATTTGTGAGTCGACGCTCTATCTCTACCGATGGGCGCTCTATTTGTGAGTCGATGCTCTATCTCTGCCGATGGGCGCTCTATTTGTGAGTTGGCGCTCTATCTCTGCCGATGGGTGCTCTATTTGTGAGTCGGCGCACTATCTCTGCCGATGGGCGCTCTATTTGTGAGTCGACGCTCTATCTCTGCCGATGGGCGCTCTATTTGTGAGTCGACGCTCTATCTCTGCCGATGGGCGCTCTATTTGTGAGTCGACGCTCTATCTCTGCCGATGGGCGCTCTATTTGTGAGTCGACGCTCTATCTCTGCCGATGGGCGCTCTATTTGTGAGTCGACGCCCTATCTCTGCCGATGGGCGCTCTATTTGTGAGTCGACGCTCTATCTCTGCCGATGGGCGCTCTGTTTGTGAGTCGACGCTCTATCTCTGCCGATGGGCGCTCTGTTTGTGAGTCGACGCTCTATCTCTGCCGATGGGCGTTCTGTTTGTGAGTCGACGCTCTATCTCTGCCGATGGGCGCTCTGTTTGTGAGTCGACGCTCTATCTCTGCCGATGGGCGCTCTGTTTGTGAGTCGACTCTCTATCTCTGCCGATGGGCGCTCTATTTGTGAGTCGACGCTCTATCTCTGCCGATGGGCGCTCTATTCGTGAGTCGACGCTCTATCTCTGCCGATGGGCGCTCTATTCGTGAGTCTACGCTCTATCTCTGCCGATGGGCGCTCTATTCGTGAGTCGACGCTCTATCTCTGCCGATGGGCGCTCTATTTGTGAGTCGGCGCTCTATCTCTGCCGATGGGCGCTCTATTTGTGAGTCGGCGCTCTATCTCTGCCGATGGGCGCTCTATTTGTGAGTCGGCGCTCTATCTCTGCCGATGGGCGCTCTATTTGTGAGTCGGCGCTCTATCTCTGCCGATGGGCGCTCTATTTGTGAGTCGGCGCTCTATCTCTGCCGATGGGCGCTCTATTTGTGAGTCGACGCTCTATCTCTGCCGATGGGCGCTCTATTTGTGAGTCGACGCTCTATCTCTGCCGATGGGCGCTCTATTTGTGAGTCGGCGCTCTATCTCTGCCGATGGGCGCTCTATTTGTGAGTCGGCGCTCTATCTCTGCCGATGGGCGCTCTATTTGTGAGTCGGCGCTCTATCTCTGCCGATGGGCGCTCTATTTGTGAGTCGACGCTCTATCTCTGCCGATGGGCGCTCTATTTGTGAGTCGACGCTCTATCTCTGCCGATGGGCGCTCTATTTGTGAGTCGACGCTCTATCTCTGCCGATGGGCGCTCTATTTGTGAGTCGACGCTCTATCTCTGCCGATGGGCGCTCTATTTGTGAGTCGACGCTCTATCTCTGCCGATGGGCGCTCTATTCGTGAGTCGACGCTCTATCTCTGCCGATGGGCGCTCTATTCGTGAGTCGACGCTCTATCCCTGCCGATGGGCGCTCTATTTGTGAGTCGACGCTCTATCTCTGCCGATGGGCGCTCTATTCGTGAGTCGACGCTCTATCTCTGCCGATGGGCGCTCTATTCGTGAGTCGACGCTTTATCCCTGCCGATGGGCGCTCTATTCGTGAGTCGACGCTCTATCCCTGCCGATGGGCGCTCTATTCGTGAGTCGACGCTCTATCTCTGCCGATGGGCGCTCTATTCGTGAGTCGACGCTCTATCTCTGCCGATGGGCGCTCTATTCGTGAGTCGACGCTCTATCTCTGCCGATGGGCGCTCTATTTGTGAGTCGACGCTCTATCTCTGCCGATGGGCGCTCTATTTGTGAGTCGATGCTCTACCTCTGCCGATGGGCGCTCTATTTGTGAGTCGACGCTCTATCTCTGCCGATGGGCGCTCTATTTGTGAGTCGACGCTCTATCTCTGCCGATGGGCGCTCTATTTGTGAGTCGACGCTCTATCTCTGTCGATGGGCGCTCTATTTGTGAGTCGACGCTCTACCTCTGCCGATGGGCGCTCTATTTGTGAGTCGACGCTCTACCTCTGCCGATGGGCGCTCTATTTGTGAGTCGACGCTCTACCTCTGCCGATGGGCGCTCTATTTGTGAGTCGACGCTCTACCTCTGCCGATGGGCGCTCTATTTGTGAGTCGACGCTCTATCTCTGCCGATGGGCGCTCTATTTGTGAGTCGACGCTCTATCTCTGCCGATGGGCGCTCTATTTGTGAGTCGACGCTCTATCTCTGCCGATGGGCGCTCTATTTGTGAGTCGACGCTCTATCTCTGCCGATGGGCGCTCTATTTGTGAGTCGGCGCTCTATCTCTGCCGATGGGCGCTCTATTTGTGAGTCGACGCTCTATCTCTGCGGATGGGCGCTCTATTTGTGAGTCGACGCTCTATCTCTGCCGATGGGCGCTCTATTTGTGAGTCGACACTCTATCTCTGCCGATGGGCGCTCTATTTGTGAGTCGACGCTCTGTCTCTGCCGATGGGCGCTCTATTTGTGAGTCGACGCTCTATCTCTGCCGATGGGCGCTCTATTTGTGAGTCGACGCTCTATCTCTGCCGATGGGCGCTCTATTTGTGAGTCGACGCTCTATCTCTGCGGATGGGCGCTCTATTTGTGAGTCGACGCTCTATCTCTGCCGATGGGCGCTCTATTTGTGAATCGACGCTCTATCTCTGCCGATGGGCGCTCTATTTGTGAGTCGACGCTCTATCTCTGCCGATGGACACTCTATTTGTGAGTCAAACCTGCACCTCAAACCTGCACCTCAAACCTGCACCTCAAACCTGCACCTCAAACCTGCACGTCAAACCTGCACGTCAAACCTGCACGTCAAACCTGCACGTCAAACCTGCACGTCAAACCTGCACGTCAAACCTGCACGTCAAACCTGCACGTCAAACCTGCACGTCAAACCTGCACCTCAAACCTGCACCTCAAACCTGCACCTCAAACCTGCACCTCAAACCTGCACCTCAAACCTGCACCTCAAACCTGCACCTCAAACCTGCACCTCAAACCTGCACCTCAAACCTGCACCTCAAACCTGCACCTCAAACCTGCACCTCAAACCTGCACCTCAAACCTGCACGTCAAACCTGCACGTCAAACCTGCACGTCAAACCTGCACGTCAAACCTGCACGTCAAACCTGCACGTCAAACCTGCACGTCAAACCTGCACGTCAAACCTGCACGTCAAACCTGCACGTCAAACCTGCACCTCAAACCTGCACCTCAAACCTGCACCTCAAACCTGCACCTCAAACCTGCACCTCAAACCTGCACCTCAAACCTGCACCTCAAACCTGCACCTCAAACCTGCACCTCAAACCTGCACCTCAAACCTGCACCTCAAACCTGCACCTCAAACCTGCACCTCAAACCTGCACGTCAAACCTGCACGTCAAACCTGCACGTCAAACCTGCACGTCAAACCTGCACGTCAAACCTGCACGTCAAACCTGCACGTCAAACCTGCACGTCAAACCTGCACGTCAAACCTGCACGTCAAACCTGCACGTCAAACCTGCACCTCAAACCTGCACCTCAAACCTGCACCTCAAACCTGCACCTCAAACCTGCACCTCAAACCTGCACCTCAAACCTGCACCTCAAACCTGCACCTCAAACCTGCACCTCAAACCTGCACCTCAAACCTGCACGTCAAACCTGCACGTCAAACCTGCACCTCAAACCTGCACCTCAAACCTGCACCTCAAACCTGCACCTCAAACCTGCACGTCAAACCTGCACGTCAAACCTGCACGTCAAACCTGCACCTCCAACCAGCACCTCAAAGTGGGGCGCTAAGTGGGGGTGCTAAGTAGGGGCGCTTAGTGGGGGTGCTAATTAAGGGCGCTTAGTGGGGTCCCTAAGTAAGTGAGGGAACTAAGTAAGTGGGGGCGCTATATTAGTGGGGTCGATTAGTAGTGAAGCGCTAAGCGGGGGCATTAAGTGGGGGCGTTAATGGGGGGCGCTAAACACATGGTTCCTAGTGTGTGGAGAATCTGTTGAGGTATGAGGGAAGCGCATGGCCAGTGCAATGTGGCGTTGTCACGATTCTTGCATCGCAGAACTCCGTCTGTATTGTGCTGCTCTAATCTCTACCATGATTTCCTCACTTTCGGTCTCCTCATGGCCTCTCGTCTCACCTCTTGAAGCCATCTCATGGCCGCTCCACCACCATCCTACCCCTCCCATGGGCGGCAGGTACGCAGTGGAGCTGTTCGGGGGCCGCTCGGATTGGACTGCTCGCGCCAAAGTGCGCATGTGGTTCGCCTGCCAGGTGCGCATGTGGTTCGCCTGCCAGGTGCGCATGTGGTTCGCCTGCCAGGTGCGCATGTGGTTCGCCTGCCAGGTGCGCATGTGGTTCGCCTGCCAGGTGCCTCTCCCTTTCCTGCCTTGCAACCCCATCCCCTGAACCTTGCATTCCAAGGCGAATGCACTCTAGACTTGAGGGTCGTCAATTGCAGTGCATAGAGAGTGCAGGAGATGCAGTCGCTTCAGCCAGCATTGCGGGGTAGTCAAGGCGTTTATCACCATGCATCTCACCTCCACCTCTTCTGCGTGCTGCATGCGCGCGCCATGGCTGTGTGTGCTGCGGCAGGTGTGTGCGCAGGGCATACCAATGACGTTCATGGGGTCGGAGAGCATGCATCCCAGGTGGTGGGGGGTCACTCCCAGAGACATGCTCGATTGGCAGTACACCGGTGAGCGCACCTCACCTCCCCATGCATGCATGCACCCCCCTGCAAGCGCTGCGCCTCACCAGGTTGAATCTTTTTCAGACCGCACACTCCTCTCGCTGCTCCATGCCATTCACACCCCCCCTCTCCCCGTATGCCCCTCTGCTGCGTGCCCCAGAGGACGCGGTGGGGCAGCAGATGCAGGCGCTGGTGCGGGCGGCCAACGGGCTGCGGGCGGGGAGTGCAGCGCTGCAGCGGGGGGCGTTTGAGACGGTGCACTACGACGAGGTCAACTGCGTCATTGCCTTCCGCCGCCAGGTGGGCCCGCCCCCCCTGCTCCCACATCCACGTGCTGCACTTTCTGTCCGTACCAGTGTGGCTTGTGTTTGGCCAGATCATGGCCCGCTTATAACTTAAGACTTGCAATGATGGTACCCACCTCACCTGTGCACCCACCTCCTGCGGACCAGGCTGACGGTGAAACGCTCCTGGTGGTGGTGAATGCGGGCGAGGCCCAATGGGAGAAGAACGACTATGGCGTGCGAGTGGGTGGTGGTGATAGGCCGTACGAGGAGGTGTTCAACTCGCAAGATGCCGAATATGGTGGGTGGGCCACGTCAGGCAATGCTGGCAGGCAGTTGACCCCCAACCATGGCAAGATTTTCGTCAACCTGCCCAAGTGGGGCATACTAGTCTTTAGACCGGTGGAATAACAACTCGCACTGTGATTCGTTGACTAGGGATGACAAAAATTAGCTCACTCTAAAATGTTGCTCCTTCTTTGTGCAGAAAAGCATAGGAGTATATATATGCCAGCCCATTGGACGATAGGAACTCAAGGTGTTCAACCATTTTTAAAATGCCTGTGTAACTGATATTTATAAGGGTGTATATTGTAAGGCCAATCAAGGAACATCGCTTTCTCCAGGTGCCTGTAGCGGGGGGCCGCGGAACATTCGCGGCGGCCTGGAGGCCAGCCATCCACCACACGCGCGCATCCTGCTCCGCCCAGCATGGCGCCAAACTCACCCGTCAGAGCAACGCAGCCCGGACCGCCAAGAACGCGGGGAAGGTGGCCGGGAAGGTGGAGCAGAGGAGAAACCGCTCGTCAACCGTTTCCATCCTTCAGCGCCCCTCCGTAACGCTACGCATCTGCAGCTTGTCAAGGTCCCGTGCTGTTGTCCTTCCCCCCGCTTCCCCTCCCAGCTTCCGCGCTCACCCGTCGTTACCACCATGACCATGACATGCTCGCCTGCTTGTGCTCCTCCTACCGCTTTGGTTCTAGCCTGGCCCGGATGTTATCACACTTGGAGGCAGCTCTGAGTCGCAGGCAGCCATCGTTGCGTGCCAACGGAAGAATCCTTCTTGCTGCTCGTCCTTCAAAAAATTAGGTCACGATATTCCGTCGATTGCCGGCAACAATAGTTCGTTCTAAAGGTTTCACCTTGCTTGTACCGAAGCCGTGCAGCACTGGGAGCGAGCCGTGCGAGCGGGCGACGAGATGCGCGCGCCGTTCTAGAGAATGCCGTCGCCCCGCGAGCCGCTAGAGCTGCCTGACAAGGCCTGCTTTAGGCGCTTGAAACGCGCTCCTAGAGCTGCTTAACGATTGTCGCCCTTCTAGCCTAGGACGTCGCTTAACCGATTCTGCGGAATTAGCGGGCCGCTTTGCGAGCTCGTCGAGCGACCCGGTGGTGCGAGTTCCGTGCCGTGGGTATCTAGGCTTAGGAGGAAGCACCTTATCGCATTGCGAGAGGTTAGGGGCGATTGTTCGACGTTCTAGAGAACTGTTTCATTTCCGATTGTAAGAACATCGTATCGGCGCGAGAGGCAGGCGGCGCGATGGCGGGGCTGGCGAAGATGAAGAAGAAGCTGCTGCCGCTGCAGACGGGCGGCGGCGTGCGCGCGCCTGACACGGGCGGCGTGGGGGAGATGCCCGCCATGGCCAACGACCCGTACGCCTCGTATAAGGTGAACGCGTTACCCGTTACAAGAGGGGCGTGGTCGCGAATGCCGGAAACCGTGTCGCACAATTTGCTCCTTTCCTTTTCGTTTTTCTTCCTCCATCGGAGTGCCTGGTTGTCAGGGTGCCGTACCGCGTCGCGGGTGCGACTATCGCTGGCTGACGTCCCCCACCCACGCCCCCTCTCCCCTCCCCATTCCCCCCCTCTCCCCTCCCTCCCACCCCCTTCCCCTCGCTATGTGCTTCTGTGTGAAGCATTCCGCAGCACGCGTCACTGATCGAGCTTTTGACGTCACTTGTCTAGCACTCGAGGCGCCACCTGTCGAACAGTTTAGCCACTCAGTCATCGAGTAACCAAAGCACCACTCATCCAGTACTCACTGCGCGAATTCCGATTACGTTTCCATCCGTGCGTCCCCGTGGCAGGTCAGCGAGGAAGGCCACATCAACCTAATGAGTCAGTCGTTTAACGAGTACGCGATCAGCGAGCAGGGCCTGCAGGTGAACAAGGAGGGGCAGCATTCGGAGGACAGCAGCGCGGGCGGCGAGAAGACGTACCGCTGTGCGTCCAACGAGATGCTCGTCTTCGGTGCCATCGGTTCGGGGGCCAGCAGCGTTGTGTGTAAAGCCATACACATACCCACGCACCGCCTGCTCGCCCTGAAAAAAGTCAACGTCTTTGAAAAGGTCAGCTCCCCCGTGATGGCACACGCACCCTCTCACCCCACCTGCTCCTCCCCCCCTCCCCCCTTTTTGTTCAATTCCTCCCCTCGTCCTACACCCCACCGCCGCCATCACCGCAACAATCCCGCAGCTCCTTCACTACCTCCACTCCCCTTTTCTTCCCCTCTTCCCCTCTTCCCCCCTCTTCCCCTCTTCCCTCCTCCCCTTCTCCCCACTTCCTCCCCCATAAGCGCGCGCGCAGGACAAGCGGCACCAGCTGCTGAACGAGATCCGCACGCTGTGCGAGGCGCCAGCGGCCCCCGGGCTGGTGGAGTTTTACGGCGCGTTCTACCAGCCGGACAGCGGGCAGATCAACATCGCGCTCGAGTACATGGACGGGGGCTCGCTGGCGGACGTCGTGCAGGTCACCAAGACCATCCCCGAGAACGTGCTCTCCGCCATCACGCGCAAAGTGCTGCAGGTGCGTCCGCCGCTCCTGGATTGCAGGGCATGCAGTTCCTGCACACGGACCCGCGCTTGGCGCACCTCACACACAACCCCCCTCCACACCCCCTCAACACCCGTGCACCACACATCCCCTGCACCGCTTACAACCCCACTTCCCTCGCTCTCCCGTCCTGCCACCCATTGCACACCCTCGCCCATGTCTGTGCGCTAGCAGGGCATGCAGTTCCTGCATTCAGAGCGGCGCATGGTGCACCGCGACATCAAGCCCGCCAACATCCTGCTGCTCAACCTCAACGGCGTGCCCAAGATCACTGACTTCGGTATCAGCACCGGCCTCGACCACTCCCTTGCTATGGTGCGCTCCTCACCTGCCCTCTGCTGCTGCGCCGCTCATGTCCGTGTGTGCTGGATTGCTCTGCTGTGTGCTGCTCTGTGCCTCCCCTCTGCTGCTCAACCTCAACGGCGTGCCCAAGATCACTGACTTCGGTATCAGCACCGGCCTCGACCACTCCCTCGCCATGGTAACCCGCTCTGCCCTCTGCTGTTGCTCTCTGCGCCCTGCCCGTGCTGTGCTGTGCTGCTGGGTTGCACTGCTGTGTGCTGCTCTGTGTCTCCCCATTGCGAGCACAGCTCCCCCCCAGTCGTCCTCTTTTTACTCCATCCGTGTCCCCCAACCTGCATGCCTCACGCTCCTCTCTTTACTCTACCTTCCCTATCATACTCCGCCCTTCCACACTCTACTCACCCTTTCAAACCGTCATTCCCCCCCTCCCCCCCCCCCCTTCCCCTCCCACCACCCCAGTGTGCGACGTTCGTGGGAACAGTGACGTACATGTCACCGGAGCGCATAGCCAATCAGAACTACTCCTTCCCCGCGGATATCTGGAGCCTCGGACTCGCACTGCTGGAGTGCGGCACCGGCACCTTCCCCTACACGGCTGATAAAGGGCCCATCAACCTCATGCTGCAGGTAGCACCTTCCCCTACACGGCTGATAAAGGGCCCATCAACCTCATGCTGCAGGTAGCACCTTCCCCTACACGGCTGATAAAGGGCCCATCAACCTCATGCTGCAGGTAGCACCTTCCCCTACACGGCCCATGTCTATCTCAATCCATCCTTCACACCACTCCCCTCTGCTTCCAAACCTCTCAACAAACCCGCTCCTCCTTAAAACTCCTTTTCCCCCACACCTTCCACCCTTCCGCCAACCTCCCCGTCTCCCCCCCCGGCAACGACCCCCTTTTTTTCCTGCTTCAAACCCCTTCAACCCCTCTCCCCCCTGTACTCCCCTCCCACGGCGGGCATGGCATGGCATGGCATGGCACGGCAGGTGATGGAGGACCCGGCGCCCACACTGCCACCGGGGTACTCAGCGGAGTTCCAGTCGTTTGTCAACGACAGCCTCGAGAAAGACCCCTTCCAGCGCCCCACCGCTGAAGTCGTGAGTGGTGTAGCGTGCTGCAGTGCAGTGCTCAGCGCAAGAGGAGTATGTAGTGTGTGTGGCGTTGCTGCAGCGTGCCAGCTTATTATTGGACAAAAATACTTTCTTTGCCTCACTGCCCCTCACCCTTCTCTATCTCTCACCCTTCACCGCCCAAGTAACTACCCCATCACAACACGCACTCCTCCCTCTCCTTCCCCCTCTTATTCCCCTCGCCCCCTCGCCCACCTCCGCCTCCCCCCAACGCCCGTGTGGGCGGGAGCAGCTGCTGCAGCATCCGTTCATAACGAAGCACGCGGACGAGGAGGTGGACCTGGCGGGGTACATTCAGAACGTCGTCAACCCCACCGACCGCCTCAAAGACCTCTCCAATGTGCCTCATGCCGCCGCCTCGGCCACCCCGTGCATCGCCACTCAACCCACTGCATTGAATCTTTTGCTTTCCTTTTCCTCTGCATCCTTCCTGCTTTCCTTCAAGCTCAGTCTGTGAATGCTAATGCGGCGTGTGTGTGACTGTCTGTTGCGCCCGGTGCAGATGCTGATGGTGCATTACTACATGCTGTTTGACGGGCCGGACAAGATGTGGCCGCACATAGAGAGCTTCTACAAGCCAGACGCCACGCTCATGTACGTGTACCGTGCTGTGGCGCGCGACCACTCTCATATCATGTAAGCCAGGGGTGAACACATGCCGCCCGCGTGACAGCATGAAAGCATGTGGCTGCACATTGAGAGCTTCTACTAGCCAGACGCCACCCTCATGTAAGCCAGGGGCCAGGGGCGTGCCCCTCGTATGTACCTACGTCTGTGCCACATGCCCCGCCTCACAGCATGAAATGAAATCATGCCTTGCACCGCACTTGACTCTTCTCCATGCCACTCACTGCCACCACCCCACCCATTCCACATCGCACTGCCCCACACAGGCCTTTCCTACCCTCTCCAACACTCTCCATTCCCCTGCCCCGTCCTAACCCCCCCTTCCCCTTCCCCTCCAATCCCCCTGTTTTCACTGGTTTCTTCCTCCCTCCCTCCCGCCCATGCAGGTTTGGGCACCGGGTGTACACGGGGGGTGAGCAGATATTTGCGACGCTGACGTCCATCCGCACGATGATGCTGGGCGAGGCCAAGTCGGAGCGCCTGGTGCACACCATCGAGAACCTCGAGTGCTGCGCGTACGGGCGCCGCGGCGTGATGGTGCGCGTGTCGGGCGCTCTGGTGGTGGGGCGGCAGTTCATCCCGCCGCCCGGCACGCAGGTGGAGGGCGTCACGAGCGGGGGGGCGACGGGGTACAAGGGGCATGGCAAGAAGCTGGGCAGCTTCATCGAGCTGTTTGTGATTGAGCCCGGGGAGGCGTCGGGGTCGTACCTGGTGGCCAAGCAGGAGCTGTACGTGCAGAAGTGATGGGCAGCAGAAGAATCATGTAGGGAAGGGAGAAAGAATGTTTTTGGGAGTGGATGGGGCAGTCAGACAGACCCCTGGGATGTGGGTGCTAGGGTGGGTGAAGGGCAGGCCTGGTAGCGGTGGGTGCAGCAGCGGCATAAATGGTTGCCGTGGTGCATGCAGTGCAAGGAGGGACAGTATGCATGGAGGCCGTATGGAATGAGAATGCTCCGTGTCATGTTCCTCAATGGAGTAATATACAGCAACTGAGCACACGACCTTGAACTGTAAATGGTCAGTGGACGCATCATCGTGGTGGGTCTGCAATCATGCCCACATTCCGTAGGGTGGTGGTGACATACGGTAGCAGCACTGATATCAGCCATGCTGAAATGGAAGGAAAGAGCTCATTGCAACAACTGAAGGATTTCCCCGCGTTCCTGCTAGTCCCTCCCTTGCCCAATAACATCCACTCTTCGGTGCATGACACGATGTCCATTTACAGGACAAGTCTAATGACTACCGTAATCTGGTAAGGAGCCGTTTCTTCTTGCTCACACATTCCACGCTTGTTTCAGCACCAAAGCACCTTCTCGTCGGTGTGATGTATGTCTGCATTCACTCGCTTGTGTGCACATACGCAACAGGGTTAGTGGCCGCGTGCAACCGCAAATCAATAATATACAAGCCTACTATACATCACGCCCTGGCCTAACCTAACCAAGCCATGGCCTAACCTATCTACATCGTAGCGCCACAGAAACACCCCGGCGGGATGTTGATCATCACATTAGCACGCCCAGCCGCCCCGTTGCAGCAGGCATGCGGAGCAACCATCCGTTGGCGCAGCTGCTGTTGTATTGCATACTGCCGACCGCCATGCATTCCCCCTGCCCGCTCTCCCCCGACTGCTCCATCGATACCTCCGCGCCCACACTTCCGCGGCGCCCGCCCATGCCCGCTTCGCCTCCGCCGCTGCGGCGACGCTGGACGGACTGCCCAGCGACAAGCTTAAATCGCAGCCGTCCATTTCGGAGGACGATCGCGACAGCGCGACCGCAGAAACCGCGTGCTCGGAGTTCGCGGGGGAGGCGGAGCCGTAGGGGGAGAATGCAGAGCGCACCGTCAAGTCCGCGAGGCTCTTAAAAGAGTCGATCGACTCCAGCCGCGGGGGCGACGATGCTCCAACGGACGGCTGAGATCCGTTTTGGCCAGGACAGTCGAGGAAGTGGAAGAACGTTCCAGATTGAGAAGCAGAGGCGTGAGCGTGGTGGGGAGCGGAAGAGGCGTCTGTTTGAACCATCCGCGCCATGTGCGCTGCGATCGCGATCTCGTCTTCCGACAAGCCCGATGACTGCGAGTAACAGTCAACTGACGCGTCGCCGAGATGGTTACCACCATTGCGGTTCTTCGCGGCGGTCACCTGCGGGACCTGCGCGCGCGTGGACTTGAACTGCAGCTCGATGGCGGACGCGTTTTGGCGCAAGGCGGCGGGCCAATGGGCGTCGTGCTGGACGAAAGGCAGCCATTCGGACGGCAGAGAGTTGATGGTGGACGCCTGCTTGAGCGTCGTCGCCCAGCCCCACGCTTCCCCGCGCGCCATGCGTGCACGATCTATTGCGCCCCTGATTTTGTGCGACCCTGCTCGGAATACTAAAGCTGACGAGCGGCTTGTGGATGAATCTGTGGTGTTTCAAATGCGAATGAGTGTGGAATGGGGTGGAGGGCGGATGTGGAATATATGAGTGTGCGAGGGCTGATGAAGAGTCGGTGCGTGTGTCGGAGCAGGGGGAGTGTCTCCCCACAAACGGCTTGGAGTTTGGCTTGGCGCGTGATTCGCCTTTCGCCTCGCCACGCACGCCACGACACGCTGAGCGCAGCTGCGCTTCGGCGAGGGGGCTGGTGCTCGCCTTCCAATCATCGCGCCTCGATGTTTGCTCGCGGGGAAGTGGGAATTTGGGAAACATGCGGACCGGTCAGGTTGGAGTTGGGTTTCGGTTCGTTGAGGCAGCGGTGTTGGCGGCAGGCGGTGGTCCAAAGCAGGTGGCAGGTGGTGAATGGCCAGCAAGAAATGTTGTCGCAAAACTTTCCTGTAATCTGCGCGGGATGCGGGAAACGGGTCTGGCGCCATCAGGTTTGGGGAGGGGCTCTTCAGGTGAGGTTGCGCAAAGTACCCGCCTCCTCACGAAGTACAACGCTTACTGAATTCATGGTTTCACGGGAACAAAAGCCCACTAAATGCCACCACGCGAAGGGGACTGAAGGGTGTTGCTCAGTCAGGGTATGCCCCAAACTAGAAGGGAGGTTCGGGAGTCTCTTCGACTGATTGTTCAAACATATTTCGATTCAACACCGCATTTAGGAAACTTTTGATTTTGGATTTGCGTACAGAGTCGTCTTGTAACGGGTTTTGCCAACAGGGGAGCAATCTTGGTCTTCATGTTCCACATTCCAGCCCCCACATCTCGCATCCCTGGGCCCATGTTCAACGCAACGATTCCCCACACACATCAGTTCCACCCATGCCACGTGGAGCGGAAAGCCATAGCGGCCGTTCAATCAGGCCAATTTTCAATATGGTACCTCACCAAATCCCTTGTCGGCACAGACAGAAGGCGTTGTCGCGCCACGCTCTTCAGCTTATGCAGGCTAACGCCGCCTCCCAGCTCGCTTGTGAGCTTGCGACCCCGCAATGTGCCGTCAGCAAGTAACGGGAGCTTTTTCTCCACCCAGGATCGCGCGGAAGAACGCGCGGCGTATTGGCGGAGCGTAGAGAGCGCTCGAGATGGTATGGCGCTTGGTAGCCCTTCGTTTCCCTCAGCTCTTGCTCCTCTGCCCTAGCTCGCATTCGCCACACGACCCTTCCCTCCGCTCCCGCTTCTGCGTGACTTTATTCTGCCCTTTCCGATTTCCCCGGCTGTCGGCCGCCAGGCGCGCTTCTGATCGATCCCTACGCTGCTCTGCTGGCCGCGGCGAAGCAGCAGAGAAAAGCAGAGGGAAAAGGAAATGCGGGGAATGATCCGGGGGAGGCGGCGGTGGAGGCGGCGTCGTACCTGGTGGCGACGCGGTTCTTGGACGACGCGATTGAAGAGGCGGTGGCGCAGCTGGTGGGCGGGGCGGAGGAGGTCCGCCAGGTATCGTCGCGTCACTGCTGCTCGCACTCATGGCATGGCAGCATCCCCTGCCCTCACACTCAGATGCTTGTTGTCTGGCTCTGATAGAAGCGGCGGCACCATGGCAGGTTGTTCTTCTAACGGATGGGTGTGACACGCGGCCGTACCGCATGGCGTGGCCGCGCCCCATGGTGCTGTTTGACGTGTCGCCCGCTGCGCCCTACACTGCCTGCCACAACCTCCTCCATGGTGAGCCACCCCTGCACTCTCACCTACCTTGCCCATCCAGCCCTCCCGCTCTGGACTTCATTCCCAGCCTCTGCTGTATTCGCTGGCTTTGCTCCCTTTCTATCAGAGGCTGGAGCGCGGCCAGCATGTGGATCAGTGGTGCGCCACGTGTCAGCTGACCTGTCCACCGGGGAGGACTGGCGGGATGAAGGTTGGGGCGAGAAGCTGCAGAGGCTCGGGTATAGAGGAGACAGGCCGAGCCTGTGGGTGTTGCAGGTGCGGTCCAAAGCTTCTGCAACAGAGCCTAAGGTTTGCCTCCAGGGCTGACTGCTTTTTCTTGTGCCTACCCTTCAAATTGACACCTCCCTCCCGTCTCCCCTTCCAGGGCCTGCCCCAGCTGTCAGCGTCAGGCCTGAAGGCCATTCTGGGCCACCTGCAAGGGCTGCTCATGACAGGCTGCCAAGTCATTGGGGAGCTGCCCTTGCACGCCATCGCTCCCCAGGCCATTGCGGGCACAGGAGAATCAGGGTCACAAGAGGACCCTTCGGTTGCTGTGGCTGCTCTCTCCGCCCTCTTTGCCTCCCATGGGCTTCTGGCTGAAGTGCATTCAAATGTCCCAGTCGCTGCCCTGTATGCTCAACAGTGCCCCACAGCCCAGCGTCTCCTTGATGATTTGAGTGGGTCTGATGGGCCAGCACCGAGGAACATGATGCTGTTTTCAGCAACACAACAGCGGATGTCTGATGCACAGGTGAGGATGTTAGTGTCAGTGGCAAAGCTAACGTTGTGCTAGGTTATGAACACAATGCACTTACCCAGCTGATGCCCATTCATGCCTCTCTTGAACCATCCAGGTCGAGCTTTTGGCAGAAGAGATGCGCATCGCAGAGGCATGGGGCGATGAAGAAGGCTTCGAGGACCTACCTTGAAGGCTGACTTCACTAACAAGCACTTTTTATCGGGTTATTGATAGTTTTTACTGAAATTAGTGGTGTACAATGTTTTTTTGCACCTAGCCATGTAGTATGTATTGAAGCACTGAGAGTTTGTTCGTTTTGTCAGAGTTTCACAGAACTTCTGTAACACTTGCCTCGGAGCGATTTGGTGATGTCGCTTCGTGAAGGGATCACCACATAGACCCGACTGCGAATGCCACGTGTGCGGCCCACACAACCTCAATGTCCCCGCGCCCGCGGTCAACCTTGGTGTTGTCAGCAACGGAACAAAGCCCGGTTGCCAGTGCTCTTCTCCACCAAGCATATTCCGACGAATCGCAGATGGCGTTGGTTGAGAATGTGGGATCCGCTGGTGTCTTGAGTCTTGACAGTCTACAAATGATCAGCCCACCTTCGATCTGCGTCAATCATACTAGAACTATTCACCTCAAGTTTTACTGAAGCCACTTCTTCAATCGGTGGATTCAGCTCTAGTAGTCCGTTGTTTAGCAGAAACATGTCGAACAAACACCACGTTGCTGCTCATCCGTGGCACGACTTGGAAATCGGTACGGACTGTAGCAAGCTTGTCGGATCGCCTACCATCTTCAGGCCCAGAAGCTCCTGGTCAAGTTCGCGTACTGACATTTGTGCCCGATCGCATCCTGTCTTCCAGGTCCAGAAGCTCCTACTGTCTTCAACGTTGTCGTAGAAATCTCCAAGGGAAGCAAAGTCAAGTACGAGCTTGATAAGAAGTCCGGCCTTATCAAGGTATTCTTGTTTGTTCGGTCAGATCTAAGCTACTTGGTATCTCTTTGTGTCATCTTCTTCAATTCATATCTTTTACGACATTATTTGCAGGTCGACCGTATTCTGTACTCTTCGGTGGTGTATCCTCACAACTATGGGTTCATCCCGAGGACTCTCTGCGACGATAACGATCCAATGGATGTCCTCGTCTTGATGCAGGTATGCTGCCAATCTGACCTATGAAACACACTTTCCGGAATAACAAACTCACATGCTATGTTAAAAAAAGGGTCAAAATATTGCAAAATTGACGTACCGGGCGTGAAATGAATCAGCAAATGGGAGGGTTTCATGAGAAGTGACCTTGATTGAATATATGATGCGTCCCCTCTTATTATTCCAACAGGAGCCAGTGATTCCTGGATGTTATCTTCGTGCCAGGGCAATTGGGCTTATGCCTATGATTGATCAGGTTAGAGCCTTTTCCATCATCGTTCGTGTGATTGCATCCCGCAACCTATTTATGAAATTGACGAGATGACACGTGCCTTCACTTCAGGGAGAGATGGACGACAAGATCATTGCTGTGTGCGCCGACGACCCAGAGTACAAGCATTTCAAGTCTATTGACGAGCTTCCGAGGCACAGACTGCAAGAAATCAAGCGTTTCTTTGAGGACTACAAGAAGAACGAGAATAAGGAAGTCGCAGTCAACACTTTTCTCGGTGCCACAGAAGCCGTTTCAGCTGTGAAGAAATCCATGTAAGCTCATCAAGTGCTCAAACTTACTTGAGCCTTGAACATTCACGTTTCGTGTCTTAACTGCTTCTCTTCCCGTGCTTCTCCTTCTGAACACCACTCTACATTCTTGCACAAGCCTCGCATCCCTCGTCCCTCTTCCTCCGTGCCCCCTGCTTCTCTTTCTCACCATCTCACTCTTATCATCCTCCCCCTCCCTCCCCCCTGTATCACCCTCATGTTGACATTGCCCGTTCGTTATTTCCCCCTTTCTCTCAACGTTACTTCCCCATTTTTAACTCGCTTTCCAGGCTGCTAATTCTAGCCTCGCCTCACATCCTGACTTTGCCCCTTTTCGTTCTAAAAAATGCAGGGACTTGTATGGCCAGTACATTTTGGACAGCTTGCACAAATAAATGGTTTATGCTTCTTTGTCTGTTGAGTGATGAATGAAGTGCAAATTCTCACCCTCTCTATTGCAACGTTTGACGAAAAACGAGCTGCAGTGCAGCTGGCTGACTAGCTTCATTAGGTCGGACACTGTCAAATGTTGACACATGCTATGCTACTCATGCAACCCGGGCAAGGTGCTTCACAACCACACGAAGTTGCATTGTGGAGCTCTAACTCTGCCAGTAGCACTACAGGCTGTATGCTCTACCAGCCTACTCAAATGCTCTCAGCAGCTGTGCACACTGCACAGGAGAACATGCGCAGGTGAACAGCATAGGTGATGTTCCTTGCATTCCTTCAATCTTGTATTTCCAACACGCTCAGAGCAGGCCACAAAGTGGCAAGGAGACATTGAGAAAGAGGCCAGAAAGTACAGTTCAATTCACAAGACATGGTACCGGTACAACCTATTTCTGCCAGCAAGGGTGAATGTCCTTTACCCATAACTACTCGTGGTGAACATTTGCCCTTGCAGCAAGAATAAGGGAGCTGGCAATAACCATGCTCAGAAACACTGCTCACTGCTCAGTATCACACAGCAGAGAATGCCTGATCACCAGATCCGATCTGAATCTCCCTCACTGCAGCCCGCAACATGTCCCTCTGTGATTGGTCCACCTGCCCCTCCGCCTGCTCCCAATCACACATGAAGAGCAGAGCAGAGCAGAGCACACGTACGAGAATCAGAGTGAACCCAGAAATGTGGCAGCGTACTGACTGAGGCACACACACCATGAGCGAGTCGAGGTACTCACCATGAGCGAGTCGAGGTACTCACCATGAGCGAGTCGAGGTACTCTGCTTGCTCTGCGAGCTGCTGCTTCCACACGGCGATGGCCTCATCCCTCTCCCTCATCGCCTCCATCGCTTCCTTCAGTGACAGCACCTCCGCCACCAGCTCCTCCCGTTGCTGCCACACACAAATGAAATGGATGCGCCAAGGGAGAGGAGAAAGCATGAGCTGGAGCCAGGGGATGAGAGAGTGAGGGTGGGAGGGAGGAGGCTCTAAAAAAACGAATCCCACCTACAACCAGCACACATGAACCCCCTTCCCCCTCCCCACCCCCTCTCCTCAGGACTACCAGATTCAGCAGCTTCTGCTGCCAACCGAAAACCCATGTGGTGCTGGCAGCGCAGGGCAGCGCACCTGCTGTTCCTGCAGGGACTTCTTGCGCGCGTTGAAGATGCTCTCACTGATGTCCTCCGCTGTGCGCCGTGCCTCCTCCACCTCCGCCGCCAGCTCATCCGCCCGCCGCCTCGCCGCCTCCAGCTCCGCTATCAGCTTCTGCGGGTCCTGCCTGCTCCGCGCACGGGCCAGGGGGTGGCGGGTGGGAGAGGTGGTGCAGAGGGGAGGATGGAGAAAGGGGCTTTAAGGTCCAGGTTCATACGAAGATTCAAGTGAAGTGGCAGAAAGGCCAAATGAGGTTCACAGTGAATGTGGTGCCATATATGCAATCCCATGCAAATGAACAGTGAATCCATGCATGTGCATCCATGCATGTGCATCCATGCATGTGCATCCATGCATGTGCATCCATGCATGTGAATCCGTGCATGTGCATCCATGCATGTGAATCCGTGCATGTGCATCCATGCATGTGAATCCATGCATGCAAACCATGATCCCGATGGCATCGCCCCCCCACTGCGCCACCCCGTGAGCAGCAGCATGGCACGCACTTGAGCAGGCCTGGCAGCCCGCCTCCCGACCCCCCGGCAGTGAGGGCGTCCGCCAGCTCCGCCTCCCTCCTCTCCGCAGCCTCCAGCTCCTCGTTCAGATCCGCTATGCGCATCACCAACCCCGTCACCTGTCAGCACACCACACAGACAGCGTAGAGGCATAGGCAGAGCGGGAACAAGCCACGGTTTAGAATGCAGCAAGGGATGAGGAGCAAATTAAGCAGGCTGCACTCACGCTTTTATCATCCATCAAAGCATGTCCCCCTCCCTTCTGTTCCAAAGGAAACCACACCCCCACATTCATCTCTTTCCCCCCTCCTCTACCCCTCCTGCCCCACCCCTCCCCCACCTGCCCAGCGAACGACTCGGCCTCGGCGTTGGCGGCGTCCTCACGGGCAGCCAGCAGGGCGACCTGCGTGCTGAGCTCCTCTATGCGCTGGTTGGCGGCCGCCAGGGCCTGCTTGCTGGCCTGCTCGCGCTCGCGCAGTGCCGCCACCTGCCCCAGGAACAGCCCCACACACTCGTCCACCGTCGCCCCCAGCGCCCTCCGCGTCTCCTCCACCTCCTCCTCCACGCGCCGCTGCTCCTCCCGCTCTTGCGGCGTTTGGGGGGCGAGGCGGGGGCGGTGGAGGGCGGGGAGAGCTGCTGCGCGATGAAGGAGGAGGGCGGCAGGGCTGTGCCGTTCACGGATGAGGTTGATGAGGGCGATGCGCGCACCTGCACAAGTGGGGGAGTAGGGTGTGAGTGAGGGGGCGGTGAGGATTTGACAGGGCAAGACGTGGGGCATGGGCATGGGCTCATGGGCGTGGGCTAATGGGTATGGGTATCAGGAGGGCGTGGGCATGCTCCCAGCATGCAACGCCACCAACACAGCACTCACAGGCACGGGTTCAGCGGTGCGAGAGTCAAACACCACCGCAGCGTCCCACGGTGCCGCACTGTCCCTCCCCTGCCCAGCGCCCCCTCTTCCTCTCTCCGCCGCCGCAACTCTCTCCTCAGCCGCGGCCAGCCGCTCGCTCATCTCCGCCAGGCGCTCATAAGCCGCTTTAGCCGCGGCCTTGGCGGCGGCCTCACGCTGCTCCACGTCCTCCACCTGCCGGAACAGCTCCTCCACACGCGCATTCGCGCGCATCGCCGCCTCCACGGCGGCCGCCTCGCTCTCCTCCACCAGTGCCAGCTTGCGACTCGCCGCCTCCGCCTCTCTCACCGCCACGGCTTCCCGCTGCTGCACCGCCGCCACCTCGCTGTGCAGCTCTGCAACTCGCGCGTCTGCTCTCTGCGCCTGCGCCTTGGCCTCCTCCTCGCGTTCGATCAGCTCCGACACGCGCGTGGAGAGGAACGAGATGTGGTCGTTGGCCGTCTGCAGTGCCTCCTGCAGCTCTGTCTCGCGCCGTGTCAGGTTCACAATCTGCTCCGACAGCAGTCCAATGCGTCGGTTCGCCGCGTCGATCTCCTGCCGTGTGCCCGCATCGCGGGCCTGCAGCGCCCCCAGCTGTCCGCTCACCGCCTCGTACCGCCGGATCGCCTCATCCGCCGCCGCCTCGCGTTCCCTCAGCTTGGCCACCTCCTTGGATATCTCCCCCACCGACCGCTCCGCCGTCGCTGCTGCCGCCTTGGCTGCCTCCAGGTCGCTGACAAGAGCATCAACCCGCACCTCCAGTGCATCAGCCCGCTCGCGCGCGCTCCTCTCGCTGTCTCTGATCTCCGCCTCGCGCGCCGCCGCCTCCTCCAGCTGCTCCGACAGCACGGCGACTCGCTCCAGCGCGGCGCGCGTGGCGGCCTCGGCCTGCGCCTCCTTGCGCTTGAGGTCCGCCACCTTGCTATTGAGCTCCTCCAGCCGCTCCTTGATGTCGCCCACCGACCCCAGCCCCTGCAGCTCAGACGCCATGCTCTCGTACCGCCGCTGCGCCTCCTCCGCCACCTGTTTCGCGCTCGCCTCCTTGCGTCCCAGCTCCTCCACGCGTCGCAGGATCGCAAAGTACCGCCGGTCCGCTGCGCGCGCCGACGCGCGCGACTTGCGCTCGCTCTCGCGGATGGCGGTGAGCTGGCGCAGGAAGAAGTCGTTGCGGTCGGTGGCGGCCTGCAGGGCAGCGCGCGTCTGCGACAGCAGCCCCTCCAGCTCCACCACGCGCCCCACCAGCTCGCCCGCCTCCTCCGCGCTCAGCGCCTGCACGCGCCCCGCCTGCATGTCGCGCCGCCGCTCCTCTGCTCGCCGCTCCGCGTCCTCCGCTGCGCGTCTGCGCTGCTCGTCCAGCTCGCGCAGCAGCGCCTCCACTCGCCGCTCCGCCACGCGCGCCTGCTTGCGCGCGGCCTCCTCGCGCGCCTTGAGTGCCGTGACCTGGCGGAAGAAGAAGTCTATGCGGTCCTTGGCTGCTGCCGCTGCTGCATCCGCTGTTGCCACCCGTGAGTTGGCGCCCTCCAGGAGCATCTGTGAGGGAGGAGTGAGGGGCCGGGGAACAGGGAGAGGGAGTGGAAATGAGGGGGGGAGAACGACGGGGTGGTTGTGAGTTGGCGGATGGAAGAGGGCGGGGCGCAAGACGGAGACGGGAACGGCCCTGTCATGTGTGCGTTGGGTGAACACTGAATGCTCGTCTCACCTTGAGTGATCTGACTTCATCACTGCTCCCACTGCTGCCGCCTACTCCTCTTCCTCCTCCTGCTGCCTCTGCTGCTGCCTGCATGGCACCGCACAGCACAGCAGAGCAGAGCAGAGCAGCCGGGCAAAACGGGGAGTGGGAGGAAGGAGTGAGCGAGAGGCGATTGAAAGGGACAGGAGAGGTGCCAACTAATGCGACAGCTAATGCACCCTCACCTGTGTTGCCCTCCCCACCCACGTGCTGCCCTCCCCTCCCACGTGCTGCCTCGCCACATGCAAGGCTCCCAAACCCACGCACTCACTCATACACCCTGTCACCCATCCACCCACTCACCCACGCACCCGCCCACACCCCCCCCTCAGAACGCCCCCCCCCACCTGGCACAGCTGGTGCACGAGGGCGTGGTCAGCAGCGAGGCGGTGGCGGAAGCGGTCAGCCGCCACGCGCGCCAGGGCCACCTGCCAGTCGTGCGCGTGCGTGCCACCCTCCTTGGCCGCCAGGCGCCGCCGAAACTCCTCCTGCGTCAGCTGCAGCACGCGCTTGCTGTCGCCCGCACTCAAGCTGTCCCTCAACTGCGGGAAGGGGAGAGGGCGGATGGAGGGGGAAGGCATGGATGGAGGCACGCGCATGACGGGGCAGTGGGTCACACAGTGGGTGGGCCAGGGGTGGGGGGCATTGACAGTACGGAAATCGGTGGGGAGACGGCGTGGGAGGGGGGTTGCAGGGAGTGACGGGCGAGCGGGGGTAAAGAGGCGCGAGCGTGCATGCACCCAATAATGCGCCAGCAGGGGGAGTGCGACCTGAATGGGGGCTGGGGTGACGGGAGTACCCATGGTAGCATACTAGCATGAGCGCACCTTCTCCCGTGGTAGCATGAATTGGGGTGGGAGGGGAGGGGCGCGCACCTTCTCCCACGGCAGCATGTAGGGGTTGACGGAGGGGCGCACCGCCCTCAGCGCCGCCAGCGCCGCGTCCACCGCCTGCCCGCGCACCAACGTCAGGTACCTGCGCGCGCACACAGGGGGAAGAAGGGGGGGTTGTGGTGAATGGAGGGGCAGGGAAGTGACATGACGGCAGGGAGCGAAGAGGGGCGACGAGGGGTGAGGAGGGGCGAGGAGGGGCGTACCCGAGGGCGACGAGGGGCGAGGAGGAGTGAGGAGGGGCGGGGAGGGGCGAGGAGGGGCGAGGAGGGGCGTACCCGAGCGCGACGAGGGGCGCCTTATCGTTGCCGGAGGAGCAGCACACGTGTACCGTGTAGCCGCGCGATAGCAGCAGATCAACGGCTGAGATGGCGCGCGGCAGCGCCATGTCCTGCGGGAAGCGCATGGGCGCATGGGCGGTGGATGGGCGGCAAATGGGCGGTGGATGGGCGGCAAATGGGCGACAGAGGGGCAAGGGCGTGCATGCATTGCGCAAGGGCGGGTAAGGGCGGGTATAGCGCGACGGCGGGCGTGGCGCAAGGGCGGGCGTGGCGCAAGGGCGGGCGTGGCGCAAGCGCGGGCATGGCGCGAGGGCGGGCGTGGCGTGTGGTTATGCGGGCCAAGGCTGTCCGTAAGTGCGCTCTGCTCACACGCTCTCTCAGCTGCCTCCTCTCGACACAAGGGCTCCGCTTACCATGCAAGCCGCGCGGGTGGTTGGTTCGTGGTTCACTCATCTCCCGTTCATTGCCGTGAGTCGTTCGTTCACTCACCACACTTCTTATTCCTTCTCCCCACAACCCTACTCGCATCCCCATCTACCCCAGCCTCATACCCTCTCCCAATACCCCTCCCCACATCCCCTCCCCTTCTCATTCCCCCTTCCCCTCCCCTCCCCCCGTCACCACACCCCCCTCCCCTCCGCCGCACCTGTTCGTCCTGGTTGACGTCAGCGAGCACCAGGCTGACGGCCACCATGCCATGGCCTGCGCGCGCTCCGCCACCCGCGCCCACTCCTCCTGCCGCGCCCCGCCCTCCTGCCACACAACGGCGGCGGACGTCGAGGGAAGGACAGAAGGGGAGGGTGGGATAAAGGAATGAGAATGTTATAATTATTCCAGCAACTGCAGCAGAAGCAGCAGCAGCAACAGCAAGGCGGGACTCACCTCCACGCAAAGCACCGCATTCACTCCCGCCCGCGTCGCGAGCGCCTCGAGCGCGGCCTGGTTGCGCGGAGTGGTGCCGATGAGAATGTTGGGCGCCACGGCGTTCCACTCCACGCCGCCTGCGCACCCCCGCACAACGCAATCGCGCCCCATCATGCCGACAGCCCTTTGAGATAGAAACGCATGTTTCCGGGTTTGCGCCGCCACCGCCATACGGGGCAACGCGCGCGAACCAGGTTTGTGCATCTCAACGGGTAACTTGGCAAAGCTCGCGGTTCGTTTAGACTGTCGAAAGGTGAACAAGCGCACTCTCACCTGTTCCCCCGCTTCCGCTTGATGCGAATTGCGCCACGACGAGTCGCGCTGAACCATCTCCGTTCCGGTCATGGCGCGTTATGCGTGATCGATGCGACAGATGTAGGCGACACTTCCTTGACGACGAACTAAAGCGAAATCGCAGATGCGGCCCTCGCAAAAGGAGGTTGGTTTGGTTACCAGCGACGAGGAGGAAATACACGGCTCTGGGGACACGAGAGCGCAAATGGACGGGGTGGACGGGGTTAACGCGACGGCCGCCATACGGAGTGTGAGAGTGATCTAGGGCGGTGCCGGGATGTAGGGAAGCAGGTGAGCGATGGACGAGAGGAGTGCGTCACGAGATACGCGCGGGACCCATGGCGGTGTCGGAACGATTTCGCATCGCGTGTTATCGACTTGCGTGCAGCGGCCGGCACGCCAGAGCTGCGAAGATGCGATCACGACGGCCTAAGCTGTTCCGAACAATTGATCAGCGTCGCCCAGCGTTGCCGACTACTCCAGGTTTTTCCCCAATCAGTCTTAAATAAAAAACCTAAAGAGCTCCGCAACCTCGCCAGTGGGTCAACGACTGAAGTCCCTAACACGCCTGACCGACGAAGCGCCTCGTGCAGACAAGGCTTCTAAAACGCAAATAAATGACGAGATGAGTTTGAGTGTGATGAGGATGAGAGACGGTTCGTTGAGTTGAGGCGAGGCGGACGGACGACCCCGCGAGTCAAAGCCACAACTGCGCCCGTCCGTGGGAGCGGGGGGACGCGGAAGCGGGAGGCCGCGCAGCCCTGCGGGGAAGCTTCAAATGAACGCTGAAGCCGCGCTGTGCGAAAACGTGACATGGTGCGAAAGTTTTAGGTGTGAAAAGCCATGCCGACGTGGAAAATCTGTCAGCATTGATCAGCTTGAGATCCTTTCACTTTTGGCAGCGTGGCCAATTCGAGCCACATTTTCCCGATGGATGGGGTCAGCGGCCAGGCTTCATCGCGGGCAGGGTGTAAAGCCACTGATGCCACGTCAGAGTATTTTCCCGCTCATTATCATGTTCCAACTGGTTTCGTATCTGCCCGTGAACCAGGATTTATTCATCGGAGCAGACACCATCGGAACACACTTGCTGTCTCACAAGCGAGGGTGCCCTCCATCTGGTGACCCTGTTATAGGTGTGCTGTTTGCGACAGAAGTTCAAACAAGGACCATACAACGAAAACACCAGCGGGGTGGTTTAGCGACGACGAAAACGCGCCCTAGTTTGAAAGCTTTATCTGAAAACACAGGCAGGCGCGGCACCACACAGTTTTGTCACAAATCGTTGCCACGTGGAAGCCCCTGGTGGGCCAGTTCTCTCCCAACTCAGCGCAGATCTGGCACGCGAAGGAATGGTTCTGCGACAATTCAAGTGAAGCGAGAGTTCGTCGCAGAATCGCATACACCTATTAGCTTCACCAGCAGTGAGCTCTCTCACAAGAGTAGTCTCTAACATGTTTCTTGGGTTGGACCCTTGAGAGGCCACTGAACGCCTATCCTTTGAAGCCACTTCTTGTTATTGTATTCGTCACCTATCGAGGCCATAATGGCGTCACCGTATGTATCTCAGGTACGTGGCACGTGTGTCGCCCGCAATGACCTGCCGCCAGTAAGTCCATTCGCCCGCCAGCCAGCCCAATGCAGTCCGCCGCGTGTGTTCATTCGACGGCCCAGCGTCCACTACTCGCGGGGGCCGCGCGCTTCTCCATTGCATTTCATTTCAGCAGCGATTTTCACATGTTTCCAACTTAGTCTGCACCACTCCTTCTCCTCCCCTTCCCCCAAACCACGTCCCTTCCCCGTTGCCCTCCGCCAGTCTCTCTTGCTGCCCGCCAAACTCAATGGCGCCTCGCGGCTGCTGCTTTCCCCCAATCCCTTGGCTCAAGTTCCGCGCGCCCGCGCGCGCGGAAGCGGCGTGGTGCGCGCATCCGTGAGTGTGCTGGACGAGGCGGAGCGCGAGCTGCAGCGCAAGTCGATGGCGGAGCTGCGCGCCCTGGCCAAGGCGCGGGGGCTGCGCGGAGATACCAAGGCGGAGCTCGTGGAGCAGCTGCTGCTGTGAGTCACCGCGTGCCGTGCCGTGCCGCGCGCGGGCACGGCTCGCACGGCAGTTGTCGGCCAGTCGCGCGCCTCTGTTTCCCCCCACACCGTTCACGCACCTTTCACAACCCCCTTTTTTCCCTCCCCCTTTTCACTGCCATCGGCGCTCCGCCCTCCGCGTTCTGCCAGTCCATTCCCCGCGCCTGTATTCCCTCCCCCTCCCTCCCCGCCCTTTCAGATCAGGCGCGGCCTCACTCGCGTACTCCGCTCCCCCGCAACCACCCGCCCCCCCGGCCGCGGTGCCGGGGGGCGCGGACGCGATGACGCAGCTGCTGGAGAAGATGCCGCTTCCGCAGCTGCGCGAGCTCGCGCGCGAGCGGGGCTCGCGGTCGTCCACGCGCGCCGACATCCTCCGAGACCTGCGCCTGTACGCATGGGGGGATGTGGGGGGAGGGGAAGGGGGGTTGGGGCTAGCAGATGGCGCGGAAGGTGAATGCGATGTTGCGTCGTGCTGATAACCATGCCGCTGCTTCGCTCGCAGACCCGTCCGCCATCCCGCCCCCTCACTTCCTTCTTCCTTATTTGTACCCGTCTTCCCCTCCTCACCTCTCCACTTGCACTCGATTTGATATTCTTTCCCCCCCTCCTCCATCCCTCTTCTCCCCCCCCAGCATAATGGCTGGACAGCCCCTGCCCAAGCCTCCCCCGCCACCCGCGCCTGTCATCCCCCCGCCCTCCCCCTCGCCCGCGCCCCCAGCCTCCCCGCCCGTTGCTATACCAGTCGTGTCTGCACCCGCGCCGGCTCCCCCAGCAGCCGCGGCGGGCGCAGGCGGAGAGGCGGGGGCGCGGGAAAAGGAGCTGCTGGGGCTGGGGCTGGCGGAGCTGCGGCAGATGGCGCGCGCGCAGGGCGTGCGCGGCGACACCAAGGCGCAGATCGTCTCCGCGCTGCTGTGAGTGCCTGGGGCGCAACCACGAAGGGGGGTGGAATTGGGGGGGAAATCGCGCAGTACAGTGCTTGCAGTCGTGGCTGACGTACTTGCATGCGTCATCCCTCCTCCCCCGTCCTTCCTGCCCATCCCCGAAGCTCACATGCGCGCCCCTCGTCCCCCACGCGCTCCGCCTGCCCTCCGCAGAGCCCAGCAGGCCGCCACGCCAGTCAAGGCCAAACCACCCTCCCCCCCGCCCGCTGCCCCCGCCGCTGCTGCCTCTCCTGCTCCCACAGTCGCCAAACCTGCTCCTAAGCCTGCTGCTCCCAAACCAGCTGCTCCCAAACCTGCTGCCGCCAAGGCTGCGGGGGAGAAGGCGGCGGGGGAGAAGGGGGAGAAGGGGGAGGTGGAGCGGGCGTTGGAGGCGATGGACATGGGCGAGCTGCGATACCTGGCGCGGGAGAGAGGCCTCAAGGGCGACACCAAAGAGGAGCTCGTCAAGGCCCTCGCGTGAGTCGCGCCCCCCATGCACATGCACACACGTAAACGCACACGCAGCCCCTGCCACCCTCTCCCCGCCTCCTGCCCACTCGCCACCTTCCCCCATCCTGCCCCTGCCCCTGCTGCCTTCCCACCCCCATCACATCCCTTCCCTCCCCTCCTCTCTTCCCCCCCGCATCCCCTCCCGCAGCGAGGGTCCCCCCCCCACGCTGGGGTTCATAGGGCTGCCGCCGCCCTCCGCCCCTCGCCGCCGCCGCATGCCCAGGTTCCGCGCGCCCCCTAAAGACGCCCCCGCGCCAGCCAACGCCGCCGCTGCTGCTGCAGCTGGCGCTGAGCAGGCGGAGGGGGAGCAGGAGAAGGCGCAGGCGGAGGAGGGGGCGGCGGTAGTGGAGGAGGAGGCGAGAGAGGTGGAGGTGGCAGCAGGGGCGGAGGCGGTGCTGCCGCCCTTCCAGTCCACTGCTGCGCCCGACTCCCCCTCGCCCGCCCCCGTGCTGCCCCTGACTGTGAGTGCTGCCCCTGACTGTGAGTGCACCACCCTACTTCCCACCAGTCGCCCCCACCTCATTCTTTTCGTCTCAATTGCTCCTCCTCCCACCCCTCTCTCCCCTTCCGCCCCTCCTCTTCCTCCCCCCCTCCCTTCCCTTCCCGTGCGCCATCAGCCGGGGGAGATGGCGGGGGAGGTGGCGCGGCTGAGGGAGGCGGTGGCGGGGATGAGGGGGGAGGTGAGAGGAGGAGGGCGGCGGGTGAAGGGGGAGTGAGGAGGAGCGCAGCAGCAAGTACCTGCGCAGTGCCGTCATCGGGGGCGTGGGGCTCGCCCTGCTGCCCCTGCTGCTGCCCGCCCTCATCTCCTCCCTCCGCCAAACAGCCCCTCCCTCTCAGGTACGCCTGTCAGTGAGCACAGGGATGGGTGCATGGGTGCATGGGGTGCATGGGTGCATGGGGTGCATGGGTGCATGGGTGCATGGGTGCATGGGTGCATGGGTGCATGGGTGCATGGGTGCATGGGTGCATGGGTGCATGGGTGCATGGGTGCATGGGTGCATGGGTGCATGGGTGCATGGGTGCATGGGTGCATGGGTGCATGGGTGCATGGGTGCATGGGTGCATGGGTGCATGGGTGCATGGGTGCATGGGTCCATGGGGTGCATGGGTGCATGGGTGCATGGGTGCATGGGAGAATGAAATGAGCACCCGGTATGGGGAACGTATCGGAAGGCCTAGGGGCAGATGGCAGCACAGTGAATCTGGGAGCAGCACCACATGGCCAGGCCCCCCAACACTTCCCTTGTGCTGCATGCACCCCGCACCTGCCATGCCACCCTCCGCAACTCACCACACCATCCCCCGCCCTGCTGCACCACCCCTGCCCATGCACCACCCACTCGCCACCAACACCCCTCGCTGCCCCTCATCCCCCGTCCCCTCTGGTCGCGCAGGCACGGGTGGAGCTGGCATCGGAGACGGCAGTGCTACTGCAGTCACTGCTGGCCGCGGAGTCGTCCTCCCTGTCGGAGCTGCAGGCGCTCGTGCCCCTCATCGCCCCCGACCTTGACGCTGCCACCCGTGCCGACCGCGCCGCCATGTTCTGCCAGGCCGTGCCACCCGCCTCCCGCTCCCCCCAGGCCGACCGCTTCTGCAACGCTGTCAGCGCCGTCAGGGGGGGGCAGTGAGGGGAGGGAGAGGATGCTTGGTGTGGCAGTGGGTGCGTGCGGTACGATGGATGTGCACGGGATGGTGGGTGGGGATAGCTGTAGGTTGAATGAACGAGGGTTATGCATGCATGGTGCGGCGCAGCGGTGGTCAGGGATCTTGCTCAGATGGTTTTGTTGGTGGAGGAAACTCAACACTTCTACCTTTAACCCTGGTGACCTCTACATTGGAGGTTCAAGTGATGTCATGAGAAACAACAGCTTCAACTATGGATAATGGAAGAATTGACTGCATTGGTTGTGATACTGTACAAAAATGATATACAGTAGATACCGTTCTACAGCAAAATAATGTGCCACAATAATCTCTCTGCTGCTGCTATTGTGCAGCAGAGCACAGCGAAGCAAATCACCTTCACCTACACACGTGTGCAAGGCCTCGGCAGGGGTGGTGGACTGGCATTAGTGTGTTAGCATGTTAGCGTGTCGGAGTGTTAGTGTGTGCGTGCATGCATCCATGCTTGCCGCATGGCTGGTGCGCGGGGCAGCTACGGTAGTAGGAGGGCAGGGCGGGGAGCGCAGTGCCGTGCAGGAAGTGGTGGAAGATGGTGAAGGCGGCCGCGGGTCGTCCCGTGGGGACCTGGTGGCCCGCCCCCCGCACCGTCATGAACGTCAGCCCCTTGTACCGCGTCACCCACCCCCCCACCTGGGGCACGGGCGGTGCAGGGAGGGGATGGAAAAGGGGAGGGGATGGGGAAGGGGAGAGGGAGGGGGAGGAAGGTTTGGAAAAGGAATTGGAAGGAGGGAGCACATGATAGAAACCGTAGGGGGAGATGCGAGGGCTTTAGGGCGGCAGTGCAGCCTGTGCGTGTGGTGTGCGTGCCATGCTGGTGAGGGAGACACACCCCATCACTCACCTGTCATGCTGCATGTTGTGTGCACGGCGTGTGGCACGCACCTGGGTGGAAGGGAGCGTCCAGGGTTGCAGGGGGGCGAGCAGCGGCAGGTTGAGGCCCGCCACCCACTGCCTGGTGCCCGTGAACGACACCACTGAGTCCACGTCGCCCCTGCCGTGCACAGGGGCGCAGACAGGGGTGCAGAGAGGGGTGCAGAGAGGGGTGCAGAGAGGGGTGCAGAGGAGTGGTGTGTGTTTCCTTGCGAAGGCAGAGCATCTGGCTTGGTACAGTGGAGCTGACGTGAGATTAGCGAATCATGCTCCCACATCCCAAGACATTCCGCCCTGCACCCACCTCATTCCACCCATCAGTGCACTCACGACATGATCCAGAGGGCACTCACGACATGATCCAGATGACACTCACGACATGATCCAGAGGGGCACTCACGACATGATCCAGAGGGGCACTCACGACATGATCCAGAGGGGCACTCACGACATGATCCAGAGGGGCACTCACAACATGATCCAGAGGGGCACGTGGGCTGCTAGCAGGCGGTGCAGCACGGGCAGCATCGATACCTCCATGTCCGCACCAGCGTACTGCAGTGATGCGCTGTGGGGGGGGAGAAGGGAGGTAGAGAGGGAGGGAGGAGGCAAGTCAAAAGGGGGTAGGTGAGAGGGTGGTAGGTGAGAGGGTGGTAGGTGAGAGGGTGGTAGGTGAGAGGGTGGCACAGGTGAGAGGGTGGGAGGTGAGAGGGGGGTAGGTGAGAGGGTGGTAGGTGAGGGGGTGGTAGGTGAGAGGGTGGTAGGGAGAGGGTGGTAGGTGGAGGGTGGTAGGTGAGAGGGTGGTAGGTGAGAGGGTGGTAGGTGAGAGGGTGGCACAGTTGAGAATGGGAAGGTGGGGGAAGGGGGGAGGGAAGGAGGTGCGGAGGGAGGGAGGGAGGCAGGAGAGAGGGGGGGGAGGGAGGCAGAGAGGGAGGGAGGAGGAGGGAGGAGTGGGAGTGAGTTGGGGAATGAGGCACGGAGAGCGCACGGTTGGTGCCCGCACCTGCACCGGTTTTGGTGCCTCGCACCTGCACGGTTGGTGCCTAGCAATTTTGCAGACGCTAGGCCCATGTTCTTGCAATTTTGCAGACGCTAAGCCCTTGTTCTTGCAATTTTGCACTCGCTAGGCCCTTGTTCTTGCAATTTTGCAGACGCTAGGCCCTTGTTCTAGAATTTTTGCACTCGGTAGGCCCTTGTTCTAGCAATTTTGTACTCGCTAGGCCCATGTTCTTGCAATTTTGCAGACGCTAGGCCCTTGTTCTTGCAATTTTGCACACGCTAGGCCCTTGTTCTTGCTATTTTGCACACGCTAGGCCCATGTTCTTGCAATTTTGCAGACGCTAGGCCCTTGCTCTTGCAATTTTGCACTCGCTAGGCCCTTGTTCTTGCAATTTTGCACTCGCTAGGCCCTTGTTCTTGCAATTTTGCAGATGCTAGGCCCTTGTTCTAGCAATTTTGCACTCGCTAGGGGCCCTTGTTCTTGCAATTTTGCACACGCTAGGCCCTTGTTCTTGCAATTTTGCACTCGCTAGGCCCTTGTTCTTGCAATTTTGCACTCGCTAGGCCCTTGTTCTTGCAATTTTGCACACGCTAGGCCCTTGTTCTTGCAATTTTGCACACGCTAGGCCCTTGTTCTTGCAATTTTGCACTCGCTAGACACTTGTTCTTGCAATTTTGCACACGATAGGCCCTGTTTTTGCAATTTTGCACTCGCTAGGCCCTTGTTCTTTGCAGTTTTGCACACGCTAGGCCCTTGTTCTTGCATTTTTGCACTCGCTAGGCCCTTGTTCTTGCAATTTTGCACTCGCTTGGCCCTTGTTCTAGCAAGCATTTTTTGCACACGCTAGGCCCCTTGTTCTTGTTCAATTTTGCACTCGCTAGGCCCTTGTTCTTGCAATTTGCAGCACTCGCTAGGCCCTTGTTCTTGCAATTTTGCACTCGCTAGGCCCTGTTCTAGAAAATTTTGCAGATGCTAGGCCCATGTTCTTGCAATTTTGCAAACGCTAGGCCCTTGTTCTTGCAATTTTGCACTCGCTAGGCCCTTGTTCTTGCAATTTTTCAGACGCTAGGCCCTTGTTCTAGCAATTTTGCACTCGCTAGGCCATTGTTCTAGCAATTTTTCACTCGCTAGGCCCATGTTCTTGCAATTTTGCAGACACTAGGCCCTTGTTTTTGCAATTTTGCAGACGCTAGGCCCTTGT